TACTGAATAAAAATAAGAAAAACAATAAAAATAGTAGTAAAACAATAATAAATAGTAATGGATAGAGTAAGCCCAGATGAATATCTTAGTATACTGCTTGAACATGCAGAACGTAGTCCTCTACATATACAATATTAATGTGTGTGCACTCAGTTAGTAATGCTGATTATTACAAATTTATATATTAAAATAATTAAATATTAATATTTAAAATAATTTATCAAACATGCTGCTGTGTTTGAAATCTTCTATATAACTTGTTAGATAAACTTCATTCAAAAGGAACAGTTAGTGCTTTTGAATTAGTAGCAATAAAAAGATATAGGAAATAAAAGAAAAGACAAATCAAGTGCACTTAAATATTGTCATCACTTATTTTATAAGTCTTTAAAATATTTGAAATGTGTGATGAAATCCATTAGTCTATAATTATAATAAATTAATAAAGCCTTGAACTTTAAATTTTAAGCCTGTTTTTAAAAATATATTTCAATGATGTCAATCAAATGACATGGCATGTGTGCTTTTGTTCATTACTTAATTACTGTACAGGTCATAAAAAGTTAGACTCATTTTCATTCAATAGATCTTAAAAGCCCTACAAACATTAACATTATCTATTTCTTATCATAAACTGTCTTTATCACTGCACAAGATATGTAACTCAAGACACATAACTGTCAGTTTTAACAAACAGATAAGTGATATTGATAGGCATAGACAATAGCAGGCTCACACTACATAATAAAAATGCAAAACTAGAAAAGAGTTAGTTCATTAGTATAAAGGCAAGGTTCATAGTTTTAGACATTATTGTCTAAATGTAATATATATAAGACTGTGTGCCTGGTTCTAGGTAGCTTCTCACATGATGCTATTTGTTACATATAGTATATATCTTAGTTGATGTGTCTGTTTATTTGCAGGAATGTGTGAATTATGTAGGCTATGACTGCTTTTAGGCAGAGGTGTGTAAGAGCCATAAGAGATTGAGGCATATCATATAATCCAAAGGCAATCGCATGCATTCTCCAACTGTACCAAGCAAGTTGATATTCTGACTGCCATCTACACAGTACAGACAGGAGCCCAATACACCTTACCTTATGTAGTGCAAAGGTTTAATTTTGCATTTACAAGCAAACATGATAATGTTCTGTGTTCCTAAAGTATTGGGTCCATAGAGTGCCTGGGTCATACAGGAAATAAATACCAATCATAGCACACTATCATTTTATGAGTAATACAACAAAATCGCATCAAAAAATGCCAATTAAAAGCCTTTTTCACATTTCAAAACTAATAACATCAATGATTAAAACCTTGCAATGCAAATGAAATGTACAAAGAAGCAACAAAAACACCAATCTGTATTCACCATAGTGATAATAAATCGATCTCCTTTCTTTGCTTTCTCACTCTCTCACTCTCTAAGACACACACACACACACACACACACACATTCACCTACCTGATATGGGTAGATAAGGTTGACATAAGCAGCAGCATGGATCACAGTGTCAATCTCAGTTGTGAAATGGTGGTAGTCTTCATCAGACATCCCCAGGTTTACCAGAGTAATGTCACCTTATCAAAAATATAAGTTAATACATGTAGTAGAAGGGTGAGAGTGAACAGTGGTACATATAGCTTTCTTTCTGTTTAGTTTCAATTAGCATATCTGTATGTCAAGCTAATTAATAATGATCAGCTGAGGGTGTGTGTAGTGAGGGTGGGAATGGGGGGTCCCATGGCACACCCTTGATGAATCTCCCTGTGTATATTATATACATATAAATAATTACATAATTCTAACCTTCAACAGTGGTAACCCTGTAATCCACCTCCTTTGCACAAATCTCCTGTTCCTCGGTCAAATCTTTCCTCGGAGACGGCAAGATGCCATATTGCTGCAGTGTCTCCTTCAATCTCTGAAGACCTGATTTCTCGGGGAGGGCTCGCACCACACAGTAGACATGAGTCTGAGGAAAGAGCGTACTTGATAGAAAAGGGTAAGGTTTATTAATGTTCACAACACAGATTACAATGTAAGCTCCCCCCCCCCCCAGTTCATAGTATTTGTTATAACTATGCACCAACAAAATGTATATTGCGCAGTGTAGAGCAGAGCAGTGATATGAAATACTATGATATCAAAATCTACTCACCCCTGTGTTAAGTAATAAATCTCTCAGTATGAAAGCACCCAGGAAGCCCGTGGCACCTGTCAGAAGCACCCTGCCTCTGTACCACTTGTTTTTATTACTGTACTGCACTGACCTCCAGAAAGAGCGCAGTTCTATGTCCATGCTACATGAGAAAAAATACTTTCAATCAAATGCAATGTCTGTCTGAAGGTGCTAGTAATTCACTGGCTTTTAAAATGATAGCCAATAAATCTAACAAAATAATAATAATAATAATAATAAACAGTATCAATGAAATCAGATTTGGTGTGTTTACTGAGATCATACAACATGTGGATATATGTGGCTGTTATTCCTACCACATTTAATTGTGAGCAGATATTAACACAATCATCTCAGCAACCAGGGGCTCAACTATCACATTCATATGCTTCTATATATATATACTTCTTAAAACCTGCAATTATCAGGCTGACACACTTTTTTATAATCACGCAAACCAAAACCATCAATGTAAACAATACACCTTCCAAGGCTGTGGACCCCAAAAAAAACCAAACAGGAATTCTAAACAGGCCTGAAGTAAATGATAACAATTGACATATGTAGTAAATGATAACAATTGACATATGTAGTAAATGATAACCAAGTACTTGAGGCACCATGTATTAAAGTTTCACCAACCTGACAGCTCCTTGGTTGTGCATCTCAACCTCTTTCCTCAGGTCTAACTCTGGTGACAGCCTGGCCAGCGCAGTGTCACCCGTCCCCGACTGCCTCTCTATCAGCTTGGCCATCATGGATACCGTGGAATGGATGAACAAATCACGCACCGTCAGCTCCGTCTTGAATTGCTCCTTCACTCTGTTCAGCAGCTTTGTGGCAAGAAGGGAATGGCTGAAAGTGGTTTGTCAAAACAATATCATTTTAGAATATTCAGACTTAAACTAATTCTCGTTGACTGTCCTTGCGCTGTTATTTCTGATAAATAATGTTCTTTTGAAATTTCAGTCGACACTTCAGAGCACCACTTCCTAACACAGTGTCCACTTAAAAAAGAAGTGAATTACAAGTGAATTTCAATTAACCACAATGAACACCTTGAACACCTGACGAAATAAATAAACATCCTGACTTTTGAAATTTCCTAAAAAAATCTATGAAGTTATAATATAAGTGGCTTTCTTAAGCAACTACGGTATGTAAGCTGTAAAGGAGTAAGCGTTTTTACGTAAAAAGGAGTTTGAGAATGACATCAAATGGGTTATGATTCAACCTACATTAAGCATTTTACCACAATAGGCATATTACAACAGATAACAGATAACAACAATCCCCTATTTGGTAGGAGGCCTCATTTTATTTTCTTCTCCATCCCCCTTTTAATTTCCTTCCTTTCTTGACCCCAGCCCCACCCCGCTGTCCATATTTTTTATCAAAATATATGGAAGGCAAACAGAAATATATATATTTCTCACCCTCCCAGATCAAAGAAACTCTCTTGTACATCAATAGATTTGTGCTGCAGGACCTCAGCCCAGACCAGGGCCAGCTGCTTCTCCAATTCTGTGGTGGGTGCCCCCTCCTGGTCTGTCTCTTCATCCTCCTTCACAGGAGGGAGGGCCTTCTTGTCCAACTTGCCAGACGAAGCTAAGATGGGGATCCTTATAGAAATAGACTTTGTGTGTGTACAAGAATTCAGACTTAGTTGTGAATTTTTGAGAAGTACTGACCTGATACATCATACTAATCTTGTTATTTTAAAATTATTGGTAACCTAACATCCAGTGAAATATATTTGTTCTATAAATTGAACAACTACTACAATTTTTTCATCATCAATTCAAAAACAGATTTTCAAAATAAGTAAATAAAATTGAATTAAATTTAAAACGTAACCAATAACAACACATACTCCTTCAACAGTACAAAATAGGATGGAATCATGTAAAAGGGCAGTCTCCTCTTAAGTGCAGCTCTGATTTCTTTCTTGGTGGTCTGTCCCTCAGGTACAATGTAGGCCACCAGGTACTTGTCCTCCCCCTCTTCTCCCTTTACTATCACCACCGCAGCATTCACAGTGGGCAGGTCCAAAATGGCTGCCTCCACGGCCTGAAAATAAATAAATAAATAAATAAATGAATTTAACTTTTATTTGCTGCTTTTTTACTGGAACTTCTTTTTGAAAGAAGAACTTTTTCCATTTCCCCATTCTGTAATTTTTTAATTTAAAAATCTATTTCAATAGGATTAATTTGGTATTAGGCTCATATGTAAAATTACAAAAGCAGCTGCATGTCCAACCTCAAGATATAATTCATTCATAATCTGAATCCTAACCTGTATTTCAATAGAATACCCTCGTATCTTCACCATGGAGTCACAGCGCCCACAGATCTCAAAACTGCCATCCGAGAGCATGTAACCCCAGTCTCCAGTCTTGTATAGCCTGGCGCCTACCTCACTGGACACTGCCCCGGGACTCTGGACAAAACGCTCTGAATTCAGCTCTGGTCTGTTCAGGTAACCCAGAGCCAAGGTGGGCCCTCCAACATAGATCTGGGTATTGTGAAAATATTAAGTGTCACAGATAACTGAATGAAGAAATAACTGAATAAATAAGTAAGTATATTAATTAATCAACGAAAAAAGACTGATCACATTTAAATTTTGTTCTGTTTAACAAGCCCATTAGTTGGCTTTTTCGCCCATTACATTGAATCATGTAATAGTAAGAAAATAAGCATTAAAATGAAGCATAAAATGAGCATTTGTAACTGGAATCTTGATGAATGCTACAACAGATACATGATGGTTCGTGTACACACGCATGAGTGCATGCACACACACAAACACACACACACACAAACACACTGACGTGTGCAACCACATACCTCCCCAGGCACCCCCACTGGCTGCGGCTTCATCTGGTCATCTAAAATGACCACTTTAACCCCTGGGAGTAACTTTCCTACTGGACAGAACTTGCGGCCTTCAAGCTGGTGGAAGAAAAATGCTATGCCTAAGTATGCTGAGGAGCATCGGCTAAAGTGATGAAACTGCTGAAAATACTCATAAGTTTCTACCAACACAGTGACTTATTCAAATATTTCAAATTTTTAATTTATGTTACTCAAAAAATCAAAATCTTTGATGAGAAATCAAATCAACTTTAAAACCTATTAAATTGCCCTTTCCATATACAGTACTATTAATACAAGATATATTTATAGTGAATGAAAGGAATAAATTCAAACAAATCTTTACTGACTCATATATTTCATTTTTGTGTTGCTCACAAAATAACATTACAATTATTAATAAAAATCTACACAACTTTTCAAAGCTTTTAGATAATCTTTTCCAGATAGAGTACATATATGACATTCATTCAAGAAATAAACACAATCCACAGTAAATTGTTTGAATTAAGTCAGTAATTACCACTGTAACAATTATCACAGGAAAACTGTCTGCTTATTTAAATAATTAATAAGAAATTAAGTTTGGTATTAGTGTTACTTTATCACTGTGCCATATCAATAAATAAAACAAATAAATCAATATCAAATAGAATATATCAAAATTAAATTCATGATCTTTATTTTTATTTCCTTAATTATTTGGCTAGGACTGACTTTAACAATTCTCTCTCAGAAACCTCTTTTTTTCAGGATAAATCTATATATACTTTTTCGTGACAAAGATTTACTACTTATCTCTGACTGACATTTAGCTCTTCCTTCCAATTTCCTCTCAGAATTAACTAAACTTAATGACAAGACCGAAAGTAAGCCTGACATTTTGATAATGAACATGCAACACTCACCTTCATATCCTGGTAGAAATGTGACAAGTCGGCCACAGCGACATCGTGGCACTCAGAGACACTGTACAAGTTGAAGAACCTAATCCATGGCATGGTTTTCATGCACCTGTCCAACAGCCCAATGGTGACCACCTCACCACAGAACCAGATGTGTCTGAAAATATCATAATTGTAAACTTTTAATTATTAAGTTAAATAATCCAGACATTTTTTTAAATCTTTCGTTGGCACGTATCTGAGTTCTGTGAATCAATCCAGTAAGTTTGAGAATAATTAGCAGCAAGTAAAAATTCCAAGAAAGTGCAAGGTGCAGGTTACGAGAGGTGCTGGTGATGTGTCCATTAAAATATGGTATCTAATAGAAGAGAACTTATACAAGCACTTGTCTTTTTTCATATCCAGTAACGTTAAAAAAAAAGAAAATAGTTATTACAAAAAGTACTTTTCTCAGTAGGAAATTAAATAAAAGAAAAGATGATAGTTATTACAAAAAGTACTTCTTTCAGTAGGAAATTAAAAACAAAGAATATAGTTATTACAAAAAGTACTTTTCTCAGTAGGAAATTAAAAATGGTAGTTGATTCCGGCATCACTAGTTCATCACATTTTATAATTTCCAAGAAATTACATAAGTGCATGTATATGTATATGTCTCTTTTTGACTTGACAAGAGTCTCAGCTGCAATGAATGACTCAATCTGGTTCGAGTACGGAAATAATCAAGTGAAACCTCAGTGAAATGCAAAACATAGTATAATGATCTCATTCAAAGTAAAAAATTGCACAAGATTTGAGTCACATGAAGCACTACTTATACAACAACTAATCTTCTCATACAACCTCCTTGCTGACTCTGTGTTAACATAACGAGTCAGCTACAGCACTAATTTCCCTCTCACCTCATACTCTTAAAAGCTGCCTGGAGGTCTGCGGTGTCGACATCAAGCACTGCTTCAAACAAAGATGGTGTAAACAGCATCCTGGTGATCTTCTGTCGCTGAAGAAATCCACACAGCTGTACTGGATCATAGATAATGGTGTCTGGTATGATGTATAATGGAATACCTGGGAAATGAATTAAATGAACCGACTTAACATAGAATTTTCAAATTACTCACTCTTTCTAAATTTTTATTTTTTTACAGATATTTCATCTAAAATTACCAACAAACAAGGCAGCAAAGCTGTCAAATGTACAGACAAAAAACNAAAATGGTAGTTGATTCTGGCATCACTAGTTCATCACATTTTATAATTTCCAAGAAATTACATAAGTGCATGTATATGTATGTCTCTTTTTGACTTGACAAGAGTCTCAGCTGCAATGAATGACTCAATCTGGTTCGAGTACGGAAATAATCAAGTGAAACCTCAGTGAAATGCAAAACATAGTATAATGATCTCATTCAAAGTAAAAAATTGCACAAGATTCGTGTCACATGAAGCACTACTTATACAACAACTAATCTTCTCATACAACCTCCTTGCTGACTCTGTGTTAACATAACGAGTCAGCTACAGCACTAATTTCCCTCTCACCTCATACTCTTAAAAGCTGCCTGGAGGTCTGCGGTGTCGACATCAAGCACTGCTTCAAACAAAGATGGCGTAAACAGCATCCTGGTGATCTTCTGTCGCTGAAGAAATCCACACAGCTGTACTGGATCATAGATAATGGTGTCTGGTATGATGTACAATGGAATACCTGGGAAATGGATTAAATGACTGACTTAACATAGAATTTTCAAATAAATCACTCCTTCTAAATATTTATTTTTTTACAGATATTTCATCTAAAATTACCAACAAAAAAAGGACGTTTTATTAAAGAAAACCAACTTTTCAAAACAATTGAGACTTTATAAATATTTTCTGTCAAGAAGCACAGCTTTGACATTTGAAGCAGGAGGTGACACCTTTCAATAACTATGGTGAACAGCTAGGGTTTATTAACACACAAACCTTTCAGTAATGGTCTTAGCATTTCCCACACAAAGAATACATTGCAGGCCTCCCTGTCATCCTCCTCGTAAGGTGCAAAATTGTGCCTCCAGTGGTAGGAGAACACCGCGCCGCGATGAGGGCATTGGATGCCTACAAAGATAAGACGTATCGATGGATCTTCCACATCTCATTACATTCTGCTTCCTCTACAGCTAAGATTCTAACAGAAATCCGAAGTTGAAATATGTTCACATTTATATAAGCACATCAGAGGTTCTTCTCAAATATAAATTTTAAGTTCCCCTAATGTTTTAAACCAAGTGTGACATTGGAATGTATCTGTTGGGTTTTATACTTTATAAAAACTGCCAATAAGGCCCAGGTTATTCCACAGCATTTCTAGTCTCTGCGATATACTTTTTCTTTTATAAAACTTTTCTGTCTATTCAATTCTCAGAAAAAATGTTGAAAAATCATTTGCATTTTAAAACAGCACACCACAGAACCAGATTCAGGCATTATTTATTTTAAACTTGTTCCAGCTAGACCACACAAACCCAGTGGTACTCACCCTTGGGTTTCCCTGTGGTCCCTGAAGAGTAAACAGTATATGCCAAACAGTCCAGAGTGACCACTGGGGGGCCTGGGAAGGGGGCATGCTTGGAGTTCTCCTCCTTGAGCCTCTCAGCCCAGCCTTCATCCAGGGTTAACACACACTCTGCAGCTGGAACCACATTATGTAACCATAGTAAAGGAAAGATTTCAAACATATTCATTACATATAACTAAGTTAAATAAGTACAATCTAGCAAATTTTATTGTTTGTAAAAAATATGTACTCCAGTCAGAAAATACATATTTTTTACAAACAATAGGGACAGCTCTGGGTCTTTCCTTTTTTAAATTAACATTTTGGAATAAGCAGAAATAAAAGTAAGAATTTAGAAGATGCAGTTTTTTCTGTTTGAAAAAAAATTTTGGGGTCCAACTAAACCAGTCCTGTAAGTGATTTAGTTTCTCTTTTACATAATAACTGTGCAAATGCAAAACCAACTCTATTTTCCCATTTGCATATATGATGTTAAATTAAAGTAAGGCAAATAATCTCAAAAACCTACACAAATTGATTGTATCAATACCTGGGTAATATCCTTCCATGATTCCTTTGTGATGCACAAGTGTAAATGCAAAATTACATGAATACAAGACGGGAGCATATTAAAAAAATGCAGCAACATATTACACTGTAAACATGTACATGCAGACAAACATGCCACAAGCATAGAAGTATTCATTTTTTTTTTTTTGGCATATAACAAAACAACTGGTAAAATATTTACTGTAACAGCTACAATACTCTTGGATAAGAACAATGTTCTAGAGTATGGCTTCTTGTGAGCCTAGTAAGTTTGATTACGTTACAAGAATCCTTATGAAATCTACACTAGCTGACAGTCTTCATATGATTGGATTCAGCCTAACAAGACACTTCTTTACAATATAATGTTTTCCTCTACTGTGCTCATTTTAAAAGTAAGCCTACTCTAAGGGCTCATTCACATTGAAACCAAGGGTTCACATGGATCGATCCAACTCCTCGAAGAAGCTCTCACTGAATGTAATCAGTTTAACAGATTAACATGCCTCCTCCTGGCATTAAGTAGAATAAAGAAACGAAAGCAAGTGATTACACGCATGTTGGCATCACGAGGTGCGTTAATCTGTTAAAATGATTGCATTCAGTGAAAATACCCACAGAGTTGGATCAATATACACAGAATGATAGTTGCAATAGGAACGAGCCCTAATTCTGAATAAAATCATGAAGTTCATTACAGCTAAGAGAGTATATTCAGGAAACTAGAACAAGCAGAAAGATGAAATCACACCATTATAAAAATAATTTTCAACTATAATATATTACTTGCAACTCTGTCCATTAATCCTTCGAATGTTACTACGGCAACAGGGGTTGCGTCTGCAATGATGTCTTCCAACAATGGTCGTGGGTAAGCAAGGTCTAGAGGCAAGTATGCCCCACCTGGAATAGTAAGTGAGATCAAAAAGTTGTCAAACAGGAAAGTTGTCAGAAAGTCTAGAAATGATGAACAAACAATTCAATGATGTCAGTGTACAAAATATACTTTTGTCAATTTTGATACAATATCACAGGGTGATTTTGAGTAAAAAGTGCAATGCTAATGGACAGTTGCAGGCTACTGCTTCAATAAATCAGATTGGACTCAAAATCAAACTCAATCATATTCAAGATAAACAAACAAACAAACAAACAAATAAATAAATAAATAAAGCAGACCATTTTCTAACTGTATGTGCATTTGAATCCAAAATTCAGAGGGCAATATGATTTCATGTTATTGTTGTGACAGGAAATGTACTTTGTCTCTTGACTTGGTGTCAACTAATGGTAAAACAGCAAATCCTACAACTACTCCTAAAAATCAATACGTCAGCATTTCTTCAAGTCCATCACGCAGCATGATTGTTGTATATATAATGAGTGTAGAAGTTCTACTAGACAACAGAATCTTGAACACGGCATGATCCAGTATCTTGGCAAAAGTTCCTGACGAATTGTAAAGTAGCACAAGGTAAAGTCTTAACATTGACTAGTGACATATTAAATTGAATTTATGTATTGACGGCATTTAACACGGGCGAACGGAAGCCGTGTTCTGTGTCTTCTGGAAAACCATAAGAATTTTTCAAGTTTGTGTTAATGGATAACTACCTAATTTTTTCTGTAGGAAGACAGTCAAAAATGGAGGACGTGGTTCAACAAAGATAATTTGGAAGACCGTCACAAAATATCTCTGGATCTGCCCCTGATTAAAAGACCAGGATATCATTAAATTAATTCAGTGGGAATTAGATATGTCTTTGTACAATACAAGTATTATCAATGGATCAGAAGTGATAAATGGAACAATTAATTTTAAGGTGAAGCTAAACTTGATTGGCCACATTGCCATCAATGTCTTTGCAGTGGGAGGAATAATTTTGAACACATTGGCAATGGTAATTTTCTCCAAATACAGGAAAAAGAACAAAACTATGTTTCTGCTACTCATCATGGCAGTTAATGACAGCATATTTTTAATTCTACGAATCCTGTTATCTGGTTATATAATATGCAAATCGACCTTTTTATCAGAGGAGATCAAATTGAATCAGCCAAGACTTTTCCTTTATGCTGGAACTTTGTTTAACTTCTTACAAACATTACAAGTTTATATGGCAGTTTTGGTGGCAAGAACTCGTTTCCAGAGCATCAAAAATCCTTACAACGCACATTTTCAACATTCATTATCAACAAAAAAGGGATTCCTTCCAATTCTCGTTCTATTAGTGGTTCTCCTTCTGTTCAACAGTGCAAAACTGTTTGATGTGGCAAATATAAATGTTGGTCACTGTGACAACACCTTGGCAGAAATGTGTACAAAGTTGCACTTAAAACAAGGCCCTTTCTGGCAGAAGTACTCAGTTGTGTTTAGACTTATTCTCAACATTCCAGTTTCTTGTGTTTTACCAATGGTTCTTTTCATATACTATACTGCCAGAACAATGAAAGAGCTATCGATGTATAGGAACAGAATTGCAACAGTAGAGAACTGTCCCAGGATTTCACAACGTAACAGGAAGTTACACTGGGAAATGTTAAAAATGCTGATAGTCATTACAGTGTTCATGCTTGCAACTGATATTCTGTTCATAGGACTGCAGGTGGGCACAGTTTTTCCAAATTTATTTGAAAACAGTTCAAATTATATAATGTTACCCATGGGACTTATCTCTACCATAAGCGCATCAATTAACTTTTTTGTTTACGGCATATTTGGATCTCAATTCAGAGAAGAACTCAAGAAGATGTACTGTAAGAAATAAGTGTATTTATAGATGTTGTAAATTCAAAGACTGGGTATTATAATAAACTTGATTCACAAGTTGAAATGATCAAATGACAACTTTTTTTCTTAAATCATGAAAAAGCTCTTTTTCTTAAATCATGAAATTTTGCACACACACAAACATGCAGAGAGAAAAAAATAAAGAGATGAAGACACAGGCCCTTGTATACTCTAACAGCAAATGATGTAGCGGACACTTTGTATACACAGACTAGTCAGGACCAAGGCAACACAGGTAAGTACCATCGATGCTTCTGCTGCTGGTAGTACAACATGCTGATGTTGCTCACAAACCAATTTTTACCTGCTCTTAATATTGCTATATAAGCAATGGTATACTCCAGACATCTCTCAAGGTATATCCCCACACTGGTGTTGGGTTTCACCCCCTTGATCCTAAGAGCTGTGGCGAGAATATCTGTCAGTTCGTCTAGCTCTGCAAATGTAACTTGCTTGCCACTGTCCGTCACAACTGCTATCTGGCAGGATTAAAGAGCATTAAGTTAAAAACTGCATACTTGCATAGGTAACTTTTTGAAGTGCAAGAGTCCAATAAAGTAATTACATGTAAAATAATATGTTTAATTAATAAAATCAATAAAATCCACATGGTAGCATAGATACATATATTGACTCAAAACTTTGTAAATTTACAACTGTGGCAATTTAAATCATTTTTGTTCTTCAACACCACACACCACGTTTCGATATGAAAATCTATTAGTGTACTCACTTTATCAGGTGTTGCCTTTGCTTGCCGCACAAACATTTCATGCAGCAGACCTTGGTTCTCATACTCCATGTTGGATGGTGTTCACTGGGACACTATAACTCAAGGGAGGCTACAATTAAGGGACAATTTTTTCATCACATGAAATACATGTACTAGTGCATCTGTAAGTCAACATATATTATAACACTAAAGGCATAAAATGCATCATTGGGGAGTGTAAATTTATCCTTGATTTTGGGTCTGAGGGAAGTTGGACAGTGAAATTTTGTAGACATGCTTACTAATACTAGTAGGTCCTCAGGCCTGCTTTGTGGAGTGAACAGTTTATATGCTGGTTTATTCAAATTCACTCACAAAATCTATATTCTTGCAATCATTTAATACTTAACGGCCAGTCAATGTTTTTCTGTGAAAATCTGTTATCATTGCCCTTTAAATTAAACCATCAAGGCTCTGCATACAGTTAAGAAATGAGACAGACAGACAGACAGACAGATGTCACAGACAAGAAAACAACCCCGTATTAAAAATGAGGCCATCAGGCTCTGTTCGAATGCTTCTTGAACCTACCTCTAAGGAGAAGTTAATTAAGTTGCAGTAAAACCACGTCACATAATTTCCAATGAAAGTACAAAGCACACCTGATGATCAATAATTTTCCTTCAGTCACTTAGAGTAACACAGCAGGTATATACTAAGTATATTTCCAAGAAAAAATGTCACGCAGAAGCTGAATTATAATTAAAATTTGATCAAGAATACTAATTTCCTTTTTAGAGTGCCTTGGGATATTCTCAAGTTGGCATGGGGCATACATGCAAGCACAATAATATGATTTTAAGAAATAAATATGCATGATCATTTAATGGCCAGGGATGAGACTGCCATGAAATAATAAAGACAGAAAATGTGGCATGGGGTCAAGCGCCCCCCCCCCCCCTCCGCCCCGGGAAATTGATCTTTTTGGCTCCCAAAAAGTGACAGTTGGAAAAATGTCAGCACATCTGAAAGACACTTCATCAGAAAGGAAGTAATAAATCTCCCTTATTATTTTTCTACAAAATTTACAGGATTCCAAAATTAATTAGGTTTCAGATGTCTAATGCAGTCATTAGCAAAAAAGTTTCAATTATACTTCTTTCTTCTGAATCATCTTTATTTAGTTAAGACTCAATAAACTGTTATAAAAAATAACCTTTTTTCCTTACAATTAGAAATGAACTTTCTCATAAACACCAAGGTAAAAGAAAACCCAGCTCCCTCTCTAGGATTGAATTGGTTTCTGCAATACATATAGTAAAGACACAGGCGCCCTCTATACATGTGTACTGTCACTAGAGTTAATTGCTGTATCCATAACGTAACTGATATATACTAAACTGAAGACAAGGAAATTGCATAGAAGCTGAACAACAGTTGTAAAGGCCAAAATACATATATGTATATAACTAGATCAATGCTAAGTTAGTAAACTATCCCAAGAGCTCCATCAATAAGATCTTAAAGACCTATTATCCATCTCCCGCTTTATCTGAGCCACTGAAACACAATTACTGTATGACCTTGTTTTAGTATCTGAGGTCACATTGGCATATTCTGCTTTAAACCACACACCAAACTTATGATTAATTTAAAAAAATTTTTTTTAATTTATCTAAGCACGCAATTAACCCTCATAATATTCCACGGCACAATAGTACAGGTATCTTATTTTTTTACCTATTTTACTAAAAATGATATCGATATGGTTTATCTGAAGTCAGCTCATGAACAACAAAGGTCTGCATAGTTATGCACCCCTCCCCCCACAACCCTTAAACTGCGTATAATCACTTAGCTGAAGAATGTCTGAGGGCTGTGCACTACTAATTACGTTGGTATGAAATCGTCCCCACTGACAAAAACNGACTGGTTTTCTGTATTTCCTCTCTGCATTTTTAACTCACAAGCTTCTCATGAGCTAAAAAATCCCAACTTACTCATTGCAGCCCCACACTTAAATATTGGGGACTTCTTTAGAATATCGATTGAATAAACGTCCAAAGTCTTGGCAGTACTGCTTGTGTAAAAAGCAGACAAGGGAGTCACAAGTGACGTGAACTATCCCAGCCCCTCTGTATTTGCCTTGGCTTATAACCGATGGCGCTTTACTAACCAACCTGGCATTTCTTTAAGCACCAGCTTAGCTCTGTTGCGTACCTACCTATTTCGCATATACTTCCAGCTTCATAAACTATAGTTCAGTTGCTACGTTTCTTGTGTCATGCTTTAAGGGGGAATTTTCCGTAATCAACAAACACTATTGACCGGAAATTGGGTCATCTCGGGATTTTGAAGAGACAGGTATAAAAATAATTAACTTGAAAAAATTCAACGCTAAATTGTTTGATAAAAAGGGCAAATGCATAAACTCAGAGATATGCTATGAGAATATCTATATAATCTACTAAACAAGACTAAGCTTAGAACTAACTTGGTCTGCGAAAAGCTTTGAAAATAGTCTCTACACTTTGCGTTTTGCCAGGTTGGTCTCCTCACGCATTGCATTGTGGGACATCTACAGGTCAAGGTCAATTTGAAACTTGGCGCGGGTGATAAGCGCTCAATTTACTTAAAACCCTTGCTTCTGGTAACTCGCCGTTACTTAAAGCAATGTGCGATTGGGGAAAATGTGACACAGCAATAGGGCAGCTGGAAACCCTCCTGTCTTGTGATATTTGGTGAGTAACTAAACTGCTGTCTAAAGTGGACAACTACTGAGAACGCCTAGGCAGCTTGACTACGGCGTCTACACATTGCGTTTCAGTGTGACAATTGTATGGTACTGAAATTCTCAAACACCATTAAATGAAGTTTTTATGCTAGAAGTCTAGAAACAAAGTTTTTACCCACCCCTTAGTTTTTTAGGATATTTTTTAGGTTTTCAATGAGATTAAGAAATCAGATTTTTAAAAAAATATTTTCTAAATTCTAACTCCAGTACTTGAAAATGGCCACATTCCACCTGTTGCAAGGCCTCAAATCCATTTCTCCCCAGTATTTCCTTACAACCCAAAATCATGTCAGAGTTTCAGTAACTATATACTACAATCAGCTGTAATTACACATGCACATTAAATCAATCAAATGATAGTTGACACAAACTCCTTACTCCCCCAATAGATGGCACTACAACAAGGGATCAATTTGATTTGAACACCACCCATGTTTATGACTTAATATGTTATTTGCCATGTTACATTTTGTGTTGCAGTCATCATCTAGTTGACAACCCATGTATGCTGGGAGGGTGTGAGCACTGCTTCTGCAGGTAAGTTACTGTATGCCTTTCAATAACATAGTGCGATCTTGTGATTTTTTTAATTTTTATTTATTTATTTTTGTCTAAAAATAATATTTTTAGGCACAAAATTTATATTTGAGAATAATTGAATATATGTTTTTCAAATCTTTGTTCACTGTATCAAAATTTGGCCACTTGACAAATTTTAAGTTGGTTAAAAAGAAATAATTTTTTTTTTCTTTTTTTTTCTTTCAAAACTTGATTTGGCTCAACATTCGCCTTGGCAAATATTTATTTAAATAAAGTCTAGTTTCAGAATCTGGAATTTATCATGTTTATCACTATAGTCTGCTCATGTTGCCTATTTCAAGGAGCTGTATATCTGACCAGTTAGGTGAAAACTGCCCTGTGTGCAACATTCCATCCCACGCGAGAGACGTCCAGAGTAACCGTCAGCTGGCCAACGTGGTGCTCATGTGTAAGAGATTCAAGAGGCTGCTGGCCCAGAACACAGCCACACAACACGAGGGTCAGTTGCCAAGTCATATAGATAACTATCACATATAACACATTCTTGACACTTATGAGTTAGCAGAATGCTTCCTGATCATGATAAACAATATTATTACATGTTGGTACCTTTTCACTGGCTTCTTTTTTTCAAAGTTTTTATTTTTCATAGAGAACAATGCCAAAAGGGGTCCGCACACGGTGAGCATTTGGCGCGCGCCACTTGCGCTGCGCCCGATGCTCGCGCTCCTCAGCTCCCCGCAAACGATGCGCTCTTTGCTCAGCAGAAGTGCCTCCCGGCCTGCCCCTAGCGGACGCACTGTGAACTGTGGGATCATGTGTTTAAGGAAACATTACATATTGTTGTTTTTTCTGATAGTAATGGATAATGGTGACCACGTTAATCAATCAGACTAACTATAACTGTGTACATTTTTGTTGACTTTGCTGGGGGCTGCCATTTTTGTTTGTTTCCGGCTTCTGGCACATGCGCATTGTTAGCATGGCGTGAGCAATCGGCGCTTGCACCCCGCACACGCTGAGACATTTGTCTCAAGAGACCAAAAAAATCAAACACGTGAGAAATTTTGCTCAGCCGCGTGTGAGGCAAAAATCTCACCAAAATACCCCCGCACACGATGAGAAAACGGCGCAGCACAAGTGGCGCGCGCCAAATGCTCACCGTGTGCGGGCCCCTAAACAAATGGATACTCTCACTTATCTTTAACAATGATAGTAACTTGATGTACCCATATTGGACTCCCTGTAAATCTGTGATGAGATTACAGATTAAGATTTTGAACTCCCTGTACCCCAAATCCTGGGAAAACCCTCAGTGTCAAAACAATCTGATTTTGATTTTAGGAGGAGGTGAATTAAATTCTCCTAAAGAGACAAAGAAGAAGAATAAAAGCCATGACCTTGAGGAGTCCAGCCATCAACCAGCCTCTGTTCAGAAAGAAAACCTAGTCCCACCTGTCAATAAAGATCCATATGCTGTGTATGATTTTGAGTCTTCACCTATGACAACAACTTCTAAGCCAGCAGGGAGAAGAACGCGGAGTGTCACTGCTAAGAATGTGAAAAAGAAAGCACTGGCTGCTGTAAATAAGAGGTGGGTAATATGTATATATTCTCTCTAATTACAGTCTATTGCTGCGCAACGGTGTAAACTCACCAGGTTCTTGAGTCCCCTTTGTTTTTTTTTGTTTGTTTTTTTTGTTTTTTATTTATTAACTACTTGCTGAAATGTTAACACACCTCATTCCCATGCAGATTCTAAGACGTTTTCCAGTCTTGCATGATATAAAAGTTCCAAGATTAATTTCAGGTGGGGAATTAAACAGTCGCCTTCAGAAGCTTCCTTTAATGACCCTTGCACCAGCTGTAAGAAAACAAAGGAAGGAAGAGAGGAACGGAAGAGAAGAGTGCAGATCATTACTCCCACCAGCTCCATTAAGTCCAAAGGTCACGTCTCCAACATCAATGACACATCAATACAAGGTGTCAGTAATTGTTACAATGCTGCAATAGACATTGCAGGGGGATTTGTGACTGGTGACGATGACAAGAACAAGGATGCAGTTGATAAATGCAATGTCAGTAACAGTGCCATCAGCAGTGAAAAAACTGCTACTGCAGCTACTAAGGCAAATGTTCTTAATGAGGAAATTAGCACGGACAATGATGCTTCTGTGACAATTCAGACTGAGAATGATGACCATATTAACCACATCCAGTCTGGAAAATATCCTGGCAAGTCTGGAGAAGATAAAAACAGGTCTCATGGTGGGTGTGGTGCTGACAGCAAACACCACAAGCCTGAATGTGATGAGCAGGATTCTGAGCAAGGAGCTGTCACTGTGGAGGAATTGGGCCTGTGTGCCACGCCCACCTCAGCTGTACACAGGTCACGGCGACCTAGGACACTACACCATAGTGAGGTGAGTATTGGACAGGGTGGTGGGATGGAAGGGGATAGGAGGGGGGGGGCATTGTGGTCAGATTAGTTTGCATGATGTGCTTGTAAAAATTTTTTTTTACTGTATTATAAATGCTGTTGCAATCTTTGTCCCTGATGCACTAAATATGACACAATTTATAATATTTCATTTATATAAGTATTAAGTAAAAAAAATAATGTTAATAGGTTATCGTTTGGGAACTTTTCTGTACAGCTGTAATTTCTTTAGTATCAATACTATCATGATCATCTTGTTGCTGTTTCAGAATCATAGACCTAAGTCTGGAGACAGAGTCCACAATAGAAAGTTGCCCACAGGCACAGTGCTATCTCCTTCACCAGTGACCATCAGAAAGACCAGAAGATCAGCTGAGACAAATCTCTCTCCAGCTCCAACAAGAAAGTCCAGACGATCGTCTGAGACTCCACCTGCTTCAATTGACTCCCCAGGTCACACAAAAACAACCAGGCAATCTGTGGAAAAGCAGAACATCCCTGCAGCACAAGGTAGGCACATGTGAATAGGATTCACTCAGACAAAAAAATTGGTGCAAATTACTGTAATTATTTTTCCCAAATCAAAATTTGATGTCAAGATGCTGATAGATGAATGAATTTATTTTGGATACTTTCTTTTGCTTTGCCAAAGTAATTTTTCGGCATTTAGTGGTAGTTTTAACAGAGAAATGACCCTACTAGTAGGTAAAGTACCATGTTATGACATACCAATTACTTTTGTTTTCCCTATCCAGGAGTCTGCAACTTAATCTAATATGATTCCATAGTGCAGTCTAAGATTAACAAGAATGTAAGAACATTTGTAATATCTGTATATTTATTGGTTCATTGTAGTCCAATAGTTTGTGAGCAGAGGATTAGTATAGTTTTTTTATTACTTTTACAATTCCTGCGCTTACCATCCTCAGTTTCTGGATTTGTTAATAAATAATGCTGTTGGGAAATAAAATGCTGATTATACCAGACTGATTAACTACCACAACAGCCTCAATGACTTTATCATCTCCACCAGCAAAGGAGGGTGTGTTTTCATAGTGTTGTGTCTGTATGTTAGTGAACAGGATATCTCCAATGGTTCCTCACAAATATTGATGGAAAAATTTAGGATAGCCAGGAATTCGTGAGATATAAAAGAAATAATAATTTCAATACAACCTAGGTTTTCTAACATTTTTAAAAGAATGCCGTAATTTTCTTTTCCATAGTTAGGTGTCTGTGCAAGTTTTAGAGTCTTGTGTGGACATGTGCACTGCCTTTTTTTATTTTACTGAATAAAATATCCATGTTCTGCTTAAAATAAAGTGCCTTGGTCACCTGACAGTCACGTGAAGTGGTGACCTCTGTCATTCAATCCACTGGTCAACTTAGCAAGTGTTACCATAGCGACACTGGTCAACTTAAAAATATAGCCTTAGTGGCCTCTTGCCAACTTAACAAGTGTTGTCGCAGAGAACACTGGCCAATTATAATGAATTTTGTCATAGTGACCACTAGCAAATTTTACAAGTGTTGCCATAGTGACCACTGACCAGCTACTGTTAACAAGCATTTTTACTGACCAGCTTAACAAGTGTTGCCATAGTGACCAACAGGAGCCACAGTGGGGAACCTGTACTTGGGATCGGTGAGCAAATGATAGAGTTGAGGTAGCTTGGTCCTGAGTAGTAGTTTGTTGTACAGTTCCCACTCATTACTGATGTACGCTGCTCTGACAGGCTTCTTCTGTATCCCCAGGATAGAGGTCAGGCCCCAGTAGATCAACTCTGAAGTCAGGCAGTTCATCTTGCAGGTGGGGTCCTTATAGTGGTACACACCCTTACAATAGGGCCATCTGAAGTCGCAGAAAGAAACATTTTAAAAAGTTATCCTAGAGCATATTCAGAACAGCAGGCTAACAGATCCACAGATCAAATATGGCAGACCCACTTGAATGCTTGTTTTTTAATCCCCANCATAAAAAAAGGACGTTTTATTAAAGAAAACCAACTTTTCAAAACAATTGAGACCTTATAAATATTTTCTGTCAAGAATCACAGTTTTGACATTTGAAGCAGGAGGTGACACCTTTCAATAACTTCGGTGAACAGGTAGCCTTAAAAGGGTTTACTAAGACACAAACCTTTCAGTAATGGTCTCAGCATTTCCCACACAAAGAAAACATTGCAGGCCTCCCTGTCATCCTCCTCGTAAGGTGCAAAATTGTGCCTCCAGTGATAGGAGAACACCGCACCACGATGGGGGCACTGGATGCCTAAAAGTATAAGATGCATCGATGGATCTTTCCACATTCTGCTTCCTCTACAGCTAATATTCTAACAGAAATCCGAAGTTGAAATATGTTCACATCAGAGTTTATTATCAAATATAAAATTTAAATTCCCCTTATGTTTTAAACCAAGAGTGACATTGGAATGTATCTGTTGGGTTTTATACTTCATAAAAACTGCCAATAAGGCCCAGCATTTCTAGCCTCTGCAATATACTTTTTCTTTTATAAAACTTTTTTGTCTATTCAATTCTCAGAAAAAAAAATGTTGAAAAATCATTTGCATTTTAAAACAGCACACAACAGAACCAGATTCAGGCATTATTTTTTTAAAACTTGTTCCAGCTAGACCACACAAACCCAGAGGTACTCACCCTTGGGTTTCCCTGTGGTCCCTGAAGAGTAAACAGTATATGCCAAACAGTCTAGAGTGACCACTGGGGGACCCGGGAAGGGGGCATGCTTGGAGTTCTCCTCCTTGAGCCTCTCGGCCCAGCCTTCATCCAGGGTTAACACGCACTCTGCAGCTGGAACCACATTATGTAACCATAGTAAAGGAAAGATTTCAAACATATTCATTACATATAATTAAGTTAAATAAGTACAATCTAGCAAATTTTATTGTTTGTAAAAAATATGTACTCCAGTCAAAAAATACATATTTTTTACAAACAATAGGGACAGCTCTGGGCCTTTCCTTTTTTAAATTAACATTTTGGAATAAGCAGAAATACAATCCCAGAAATACAAGTATGAATTTAGAAGTTGCAGTTTTTTCTGTTTGAAAAAAAATTTTGGGGTCCAACTAAACCAGTCCTGTAAGTGATTTAGTTTCTCTTTTACATAATAACTGTGCAAATGCAAAACCAACTCTATTTTCCCATTTGCATATATGATGTTAAATTAAAGTAAGGCAAATAATCTCAAAAACCTACACAAATTGATTGTATCAATACCTGGGTAATATCCTTCCATGATTCCTTTGTGATGCACAAGTGTAAATGCAAAATTACATGAATACAAGACGGAGCATATTCAAAAAATGCAGCAACATATTACATTGTAAACATGTACATGCAGACATACATGCCACAAGCATATAAGTATTCATTTTTTTTGCATATAACAAAACAACTGGTAAAATATTTACTGTAACAGCTACAATACTCCCCTTGATAAGAATAATGTTCTAGAGTATGGCTTCTTGTGAGCCTAGTAAGTTTGATTACGTTACAAGAATCCTTATGAAATCTACACTAGCTGACAGTCTTCATATGATTGGATTCAGCCTAACAACACACTTCTTTACAATATAGTGTTTTCCTCTACTGTGCTCATCTTGAAAGTAAGCCTATTCTTAAGGGCTCATTCACATTGAAACCAAGGGTTCACATGGATCGATCCAACTCCTCAAGAAGCTCTCACTGAATGTAATCAGTTAAACAGATTAACATGCCTCCTCCTGGCATTAAGTAGAATAAAGAAAAGCGGGTGATTATACGCATGTTGGCATCACGAGGTGCGTTAATCTGTTAAAATGATTGCATTCAGTGAAAATCCCCACAGAGTTGGATCAATATACACAGAATGATAGTTGCAATAGGAACGAGCCCTAATTCTGAATAAAATTGTGAAATTCATTACAGCTAAGAGAGTATATTCAGGAAACTAGAACAAGCAGAAAGATGAAATCACACCATTATAAAAATAATTTTCAACTATAATATATTACTTGCAACTCTGTCCATTAATCCTTCGAATGTTACTACGGCAACAGGGGTTGCGTCTGCAATGATGTCTTCCAACAATGGTCGTGGGTAAGCAAGGTCTAGAGGCAAGTATGCCCCACCTGGAATATTAAGTGAGATCGAAAAGTTGTCAGACAGTCTAGAAATGATGAACAACCAATTCAATGATGTCAGTGTACAAAATATACTTTTGTCAATTTTGATACAATATCACTGGGTGCTTCTGAGTAAAAAGTGCAAGGCAATGCTAGCTAACGGACAGTTGCAGGCCACTGCTTCAATAAATCAGATTGGACTCAAAATCAAACTCAATCATATTCAAGATAAACTTTTAAACAAACAAACAAACAAACAAACAAATAAATAAATAAAGCAGACCATTTTCTAACTGTATGTGCATTTGAATCCAAAATTCAGAGGGCAATATGATTTCATGTTATTGTCGTGACAGGAAATGTACCTTGTCTCTTGACTTGGTGTCAACTAATGGTAAAACAGCAAATCCTACAACTACTCCTGAAAATCAATACGTCAGCATTTCTTCAAGTCCATCACGCAGCATGATTGTTGTATATATAATGAGTGTAGAAGTTCTACTAGACAACAGAATCTTGAACACGGCATGATCCAGTATCTTGGCAAAAGTTCCTGACCGAATTTATAAAGTAGCACAAGGTAAAGTCTTAACATTGACTAGTGACATATTTAATTGAATTTATGTATTGACGGCATTTAACACGGGCGAACGGAAGCTGTGTTCTGTGTCTTCTGGAAAATCATAAGAATTTTTCAAGTTTGTGTTTACTTAATGGGTAACTACCTAATTTTTTCTGTAGGAAGACGGTCAAAAATGGAGGACATGGTTCAACAAAGATAATTTGGAAGACAGTCACAAAATATCTCTGGATCTGCCCCTGATTAAAAGACCAGGATATCATTAAATAAATTCAGTGGGAATTAGTTATGTCTTTGTACAATACAAGTATTATCAATGGATCAGAAGTGATAAATGGAACGATTAACTTTAAGGTGAAGCTAAACTTGATTGGCCACATTGCCATCAATGTCTTTGCTGTGGGAGGAATAATTTTGAACACATTGGCAATGGTTATTTTCTCCAAATACAGGAAAAAGAACAAAACTATGTTTCTGCTACTCATCATGGCAGTTAATGACAGCATATTTTTAATTCTACGAATCCTGTTATCTGGTTATATAATATGCAAATCGACTTTTTTGTCTGAGGAGATCAAATTGAATCAGCCAAGACTTTTCCTTTATGCTGGAACTTTGTTTAACTTCTTACAAACATTACAAGTTTATATGGCAGTTTTGGTGGCAAGAACTCGTTTCCAGAGCATCAAAAATCCTTACAACGCACATTTCCAACATTCATTATCAACAAAAAAGGGATTCCTTCCAATTCTCGTTCTATTAGTGGTTCTCCTTCTGTTCAACAGTGCAAAATTGTTTGATGTGGCAAATATAAATGTTGGTCACTGTGACAACACCTTGGCAGAAATGTGTACAAAGTTGCACTTAAAACAAGGCCCTTTCTGGCAGAAGTACTCAGTTGTGTTTAGACTTATTCTCAACATTCCAGTTTCTTGTGTTTTACCAATGGTTCTTTTCATATACTATACTGCCAGAACAATGAAAGAGCTATCGATGTATAGGAACAGAATTGCAACAGTAGAGAACTGTCCCAGGATTTCACAACGTAACAGGAAGTTACACTGGGAAATGTTAAAAATGCTGATAGTCATTACAGTGTTCATGCTTGCAACTGATATTCTGTTCATAGGATTGCAGGTGGGCACAGTTTTTCCAAATTTATTTGAAAACAGTTCAAATTATATAATGTTACCCATGGGACTTATCTCTACCATAAGCGCATCAATTAACTTTTTTGTTTACGGCATATTTGGATCTCAATTCAGAGAAGAACTCAAGAAGATGTACTGTAAGAAATAAGTGTATTTATAGATGTTGTAAATTCAAAGACTGGGTATTATAATAAACTTGATTCACAAGTTGAAATGATCAAATGACAACTTTTTTTCTTAAATCATGAAAAAGCTCTTTTTCTTAAATCATGAAATTTTGCACACACACAAACATGCAGAGAGAAAAAAATAAAGAGATGAAGACACAGGCCCTTGTATACTCTAACAGCAAATGATGTAGCGGACACTTTGTATACACAGACTAGTCAGGACCAAGGCAACACAGGTAAGTACCATCGATGCTTCTGCTGCTGGTAGTACAACATGCTGATGTTGCTCACAAACCAATTTTTACCTGCTCTTAATATTGCTATATAAGCAATGGTATACTCCAGACATCTCTCAAGGTATATCCCCACACTGGTGTTGGGTTTCACCCCCTTGATCCTAAGAGCTGTGGCGAGAATATCTGTCAGTTCGTCTAGCTCTGCAAATGTAACTTGCTTGCCACTGTCCGTCACAACTGCTATCTGGCAGGATTAAAGAGCATTAAGTTAAAAACTGCATACTTGCATAGGTAACTTTTTGAAGTGCAAGAGTCCAATAAAGTAATTATATGTAAAATAATGTTTAATTAATAAAATCAATAAAATCCACATGGTAGCATAGATACATATATTGACTCAAAACTTTGTAAATTTACAACTGTGGCAATTTAAATCATTTTTGTTCTTCAACACCACACACCACGTTTCGATATGAAAATCTGTACTCACTTTATCAGGTGTTGCCTTTGCTTGCCGCACAAACATTTCATGCAGCAGACCTTGGTTCTCATACTCCATGTTGGATGGTGTTCACTGGGACACTATAACTCAAGGGAGGCTACAATTAAGGGACAATTTTTTCATCACATGAAATACATGTACTAGTGCATCTGTAAGTCAACATATATTATAACACTAAAGGCATAAAATGCATCATTGGGGAGTGTAAATTTATCCTTGACTTTGGGACTGAGGGAAGTTGGACAGTGAAATTTTGTAGACATGCTTACTAATACTAGTAGATCCTCAGGCCTGCTTTGTGGAGTGAACAGTTTATATGCTGGTTTATTCAAATTCACTCACAAAATCTATATTCTTGCAATCATTTAATACTTAACGGCCAGTTATCATTGCCCTTTAAATTAAACCATCAAGGCTCTGCATACAGTTAAGAAACAAGACAGACAGACGGACAGACAGATGTCACAGACAAAAAAACAACCCCATGTAGGTGTATTAAAAATGAGGCCATCAGGCTCTCTTCGTAATGCTTCTTGAACCTCGTAATGCTTCTTGAACCTACCTCAAAGGAGAAGTTAATTAAGTTGCAGTAAAACCACGTCACATAATTTGCAATGAAAGTATGAAGCACACCTGATGATCAATAATTTTCCTTCAGTCATTTAGTGTAACACAGCAGGTATATACTAAGTATTTCCAAGAAAAAATGTCACGCAGAAGCAGAATTATAATTAAAATTTGATCAAGAATACTAATTTCCTTTTTAGAGTGCCTTGGGATATACTCAAGTTGGCATGGGGCATACATGCAAGCACAATAATATGATTTTAAGAAATAAATATGCATGATCATCTAATGGCCAGGGATGAGACTGCCATGAAATAAGAAAGACAGAAAATGTGGCATGGGGTCAAGCCCCCCCCCCCTTGGGAAATTGATAATTTTGGCTCCCAAAAAGTGACAGTTGGAAAAATGTCAGCACATCTGAAAGACACTTCATCAGAAAGGAAGTAATAAATCTCCCTTATTATTTTTCTACAAAATTTACAGGATTCCAAAATTAATTAGGTTTCAGATGTCTAATGCAGTCATTAGCAAAAAAAGTTTCAATTATACTTCTTTCTTCTGAATCATCTTTATTTAGTTAAGACTCAATAGACTGTTATAAAAAATAACCTTTTTTCCTTACAATTAGAAATGAACTTTCTCATAAACACCAAGGTAAAAGAAAACCCAGCTCCCTCTCTAGGATTGAATTGGTTTCTGCAATACATATAGTAAAGACACAGGCGCCCTCTATACGTGTGTACTGTCTCTAGAGTTAATTGCTGAATCCATAACGTAACTGATATATACTAAATTGCAGACAAGGAAATTGCATAGAAGCTGAACAACAGTTGTAAAGGCCAAAATACATATATGTATATAACTAGATCAATGCTAAGTTAGTAAACTATCCCAAGAGCTCCATCAATAAGATCTTAAAGACCTATTATCCGTCTCCTGCTTTATCTGAGCCACTGAAACACAATTACTGTATGACCTTAATTGTTTTAGTATCTGAGGTCACACTGGCATATTCTGCTTTAAACCACACACCAAACTTATGATTAATTAAAAAACAAATTTAAAATTACCCTTTTCCTTATGTCAATAATATAAGCAGATATAATATATGTGAAATAATTGGTAAATTTATCTAAGCACGCAATTAACCCTCATTCCACGGCACAATAGTACAGGTATCTTATTTTTTTTACCTATTTTACTAATATGGTTTATCTAAAGTCAGCTCATGAACAACAAGGGTCTGCATAGTTATGCACCCCTCCCCCCACAACCCTTAAACTGCGTATAATCACTTAGCTGAAGAATGTCTGAGGGCTGTGCACTACTAATTACTTTGGTATGAAATCATCCCCACTGACAAAAACAAAATTAATGTTACATCTGGTGAGGAATGTGTTCCTGTTGATTGCTTAAAAATTGCACAGGGTGCCATATAATAATTCTGTAACAGATTATACAATATGGCAACCTGTTGTCAGAGAATAGTTGTTTGGTAATTAAAAAATAAACTACTTAATTAGCCATGACTTAATTGGCTTGGTTCATTAAAAGGGTTATCAACTGTGTGTGTGTGTGTGTGTGTGTGTGTGTGTGTGTGTGTGTGTGTGTGTGTGTACATGCGCACGCAACGGGGGGGGGGGGGCGAGCTTAAGATGCCTTACTGAGGTAAAATTTGTTTCAACCAGTTTACTTACCATTTAAATTTCAACATAGAAACACCTTTCAGTCTCAAATCCTTCACTTGCCCCTAAACCTTTCATTATTCCCCAAGATTATCCATAATAAATGCTGCCATTCTCTCTTTAGCCCAACAGAAAGTCAGAGGTTAAAATCATAACCAATATCTCCCCATTACCACAACACACTCAATAGTCTACACTTTCGCAGCACTTAATCAATTGTAATTTTCCAGCCAGCTTCAATTATATTAAGCAAGGAGTTGTATGAGATCTAGATCAAGCCACTGAGCTTATGGAATGGGCCACTGGTTTTTTCCACATAATTTGGAGCTGCTGCATTAATTTAATAATTTAATTTGACTTTCCACAATAGGAATTTTGAAAGCTGTACAGAATATCATATCCTTTGGTCATAGGTGCTATTTACTAGTATTTTATCTTAGAATGAAGAGTGTAAAAATGGGGAAAGTACAGTGCTTACGGAGTACCACTGAAAGAAAACTGTGATATGTCTTTCCTTAAAGCCACATCAATTAATTCTTAACCAATGTACTGTCTCACAAAGCATTTAGTTCTAACATACCGGGTATGGCAACAAATTGCCCATATGCAAACAAAAGTAAAGGGTTCATTAGACTGAAGTTGAATATATATTTCTCAAGCAGGGGGTTTCCCAGGATTCCAAAATGTGAATCTGAAATTTAGTCATTGATTTACAGGGAATTCAGCCCAAGCAAGCTCAACCAACCAACCCAATTTTTTTAAGCTGCCCAGCCATCTTTGGAAATATAGGCCCTCTTTTGAGGCTAATGGCAGTCAAAATGATGGCATGATGGCTCTCTGGGGAAAACCTTGGGCTCAAGTATGTAGGCAAATGTTGGTGTAAATTGCATACATATAAAATCTTTTCAGCAAGTTAAAAAACAATTTCTTATGCTGCTTTATACGATCATTTTCATAAGCTGGAAAATAGGGCATTTTCATACACGTATACGCCCTTCTTTACTCTAGGTGTGACAGCTAGCTAGGCCTAAATAAACCCATGTATATTTTACATGTTTTTCAAAAGAAAGTGATACCAGTACTACCCTCCACCAGGGCCAGAGATTGATTTTCCACAAGATATTCACAGATACATGTATGTCTTTAGATAAATAGACCATCATTTGGTGCTGTGTGACCCTGTAACTTTTGGCCAAATGGAAGCAATTAAATCTGCATGTGCGCAGATGGCATTGTACCCACTCTGTAAGGAGCTACTTCAGAAGATACCTTGGTTAACTTCAATCTGAAGTAACAAGCAATTCAGAAGGGGCTATTTTTATCTGTCACTATAAAGCAAGTGAAAAACTTCAGAGCAATTGACCATCTCGATTCCTGTCAGGGGGACTTAGCGGTACATATACATAGTTAAGTGGCAATTCCTGAGTAGTTATGCAAACAATTACCAGCCATGTAATCAACCTAGAAATTTCAGCACAGGGTCACAGTTTAAAGATTGACCATATTCAGCCAGAGACATTATCTATGAATATCTAGTGAAAAATCAATCCATGGCCCTGGTACAGGATACAACAGGACCCACATAATTTAGTGAGTGCTAAATTTCAGGCACATTACATGTACTCTCTATCTTACTTACATTTCTATAAATATTACTATATATTGTTCCTATTTCAATTTCGACAGACTTCATTACCAGGTGACTGGAAATATCAAGTTCTGGTAAGTGCCAATTAAAGAGAGATCAAAAAGCATACTGTTTTAAAACATCTTGCTTACAACCAACAAGTTGACCCTCATGCCATGTCCTCTCTGCTCTCCATTTCTACAGACGTGAGGCTTTGTTGTCTTTAAATTTCAAATTCCAAATAATCACAACACCACGAAAGCAAATACTGCATCTAGGATCTGTTCTTATACCAGCCTCGAAGTGATGGACCTGTTTTAATTAAGTACATTGACGCTTACCTGATATATTGGAGAAACTGGTACTAAATAACACAAGCAGCAGAGCATTCATGGCTTTTGTGGGTCTCTTATTTAGTCCTATACAGGAGAGTAACTATGGTGGGAGTATGTGGTCCTGACGATCTCGATAAAAGCATCTTCCACTGTTATCAACACATTTCAATATAAGTATACTTTTCAGTTTGCACACTGTTAATTGCAAGAGAACAAAATGCATGTATTCTCTCCATAAAATATCCTTAAGTGTTTAACAGAAGCAGGCCTATTGACTTTTATTGATCCACATTTCTTTAAAACTACAGGATGTTCAAATGAAATAAAAATACATGGCTTTCAGCAAATCAATAGCTAGTTATTCAGTTTAAGTCCCGAGAGCAAAATTGTCAACGAATTACTGGATGTTGTTTTCATTCAGAATATCTAAGAAAATTTCCAGATCTACTTTTAAGGCAGGCCCGTAGCCAGCAATTTCAAAAGGGAGGTTCTTTTTCTGAAAAAGTGGAGCTTTTCCCATAAAAACCTCATGTACCAAGATCAAATTTTACCCAGAGTCCACCTTTCCCAGCAAAAGGAGCAGTTCTTTCGAACCCCCCAAACCCCCCCCTGGCTACGGGCCTGCAAGGGTTTCTTAAAATTGACAAAACCATCAACTTTCTAATCAACAAAGTTCATATCTCATACCCCAGTTGCGAAAATGGGCAAACTGGCAAGCTGTCATCTATTCTAGGAATTGTGGAGGTTCTCTTTCCAGTGACCAATTCATTATCAGCTAACACCATATATTGCCCTCGCATTCCCCAGACAATACATTGACGTAATGGTATAAGGGAGAGCAATTCTTTACGTCAAGACGGACAACAAATAAAATGCAATGATAAATAATATCAATATGTTTCCAACATTTTCCCCTTTAGATTAACCCTATCCCAGCGAATGATGAATGATGATGAATGTTCCATTGATTTTTTTGTGGTATTTTATATCAAAAGGATCCAGCTTTTGGATTTATTCAAACTCAGTCTAATCATGGAGCTGTACGTACTAGGACAATACTATATGCCAGTAGGTGGGCTTAACATGCAGAGAAAATTATGTTGAACTTTTCTGAACTGATTAAGATGAAGTATGTGAGAAACAATACCAGACAATTATTTCTTATTTTTCTTCCCCTCTATTTCAGTGTGTATGTACATAANAACAAACATGTGCCAGGCTGAATGGCCTCATTAAAAAAATCCATGCTGGAACTTCATGAAAAGGACCAGGACATAGTTGCCTTTTTAAGTAGAATGCTGACTGTACTTAAAGAGATTTACCCTAATATTTGTGCTCTCTTGACCATTGTGATGGTCCTTTCAGTCAGCACAACAGATGCAGCATATGTATTTGGTACTAAGATTTCAGTCACGTTAATTTTGACAAATATATCTAGTTGTTATAAAAAACACTATATATGGATGCCATGTTAGTTTATTTCATATCAATAAACATTCATTTCTCAAAGATATGTTCTTACCTATATAATTCATCATCATATTAAAATAATCTAATTTAATATCAGGGAAATTGGTTTTCATGAATTTGTTGTCAGGGAAAGCTACTTTCTTGCAGGGAAAATAATGTACAAAATCACTTTCCCGGCAGGGAAAGTATGATTTTCTAAACATTTCGGCCCCTGCCATACTATTTTTTTTTCATTATTTATTAAGTTTATTCAGTTCAATGTATAATGCATATATATATATAGTGTTGGGAGAAATAAATTCACTGATAACTTACTTAAGTATATAAACACAGCATTTTATCAATCTAAAATGTCATAATTACTTGTAGTTATGCATCTAAATTTAATGCTTATTTGAAACACCGGCTGAGATTCAAAGCACCTGCTGATCCAGAACAGTGTAATTAGAAAATATGCATCCAGGAAACTGGCTGAAACCAGATACGCCTGAATCTGTAGACTGATTAGCCTTTGCTGATAATATTCAGACTCATAGTCCAAGTACACAGAAGAAATTGGACTTTGGACGGAGCTGCCACGTATTTCTAGAGAAACGAAAACATCCACTACTCCCCTTTTCATTAAAATAACACTTGGTTATTTTACATCACTGATGCCAGATTTTCGAAATAAATGATAGTAATGTTTTTCTTTTAAAGTAACATACAGTTATGTCGACCATCATCAGCATTCATTGCTCACACAAAATATTAGGGTGATAACGAAACAAAAACAGAATACCTTTATCGAGTTTCATTGAAACAGTTTCGCTGAGTTTGTGTGCTTTACGCTGTGTCTATTGTTCCAACCAATGAAAATTGTAATCACATTCAATTTTACTGAAAAACTATATTAATAAACAAACTGAATACATTTAAAGAATTTGTGTTATGCAGATCTGCTTAATAAAATACATAGTAGCCAACCTGCTGATCGTACGATGGAGGACTCGGTGTCAAAACGTGTCTGTTAAACTGAATGTATCGCTCGCCTTGCTCTAGAAAAACTACGACTTCTTCTATTTGTTGGTTGTCCTCGAGGTGTCATGTAGATAGGTTCTTCCCAAAACTGAGCTTTGGACAGGTCTATGTAACCTTAAATTAAATATCTGCAGATTGTAAACATTGAGATCGAAGCTCATGCCACATTTGAACTCGCGCCCTCTGACCTTTGAACTTTTGTGATGAAATTGATGTAAGTTGTTAGTTTCAATCCGATAATTTGCAACGAAGGGCTTTAATTTATGGGACTGAGGAATAATATAGTCAAGAAAATATTCCTACACTACAACAAATACTTTGCCATATGCACAATTATTACAAAACTTTCAAAATTAGCAAAATCTACCCTCTTGCTGTTTTACCGAAAGCGAGGCCTATAGACGGAGGTATCGACACAAAACAACATGGCGACACGTGTAGGCAGCAAGGTTTTGTTGACTGCTGCGGACGGAAGTTATGAGGGAATAGTTCATTCCTTCAGTGCAGATGGAAAACGTCTAGATCTGAAGAAGGGTGAGTATTTTGTTTTAAATTTTTATGGGAAGAAGCAATGTTTCATTCAACAACTGCAGCATTGCACTTGCGCTGTTAAGTTGTGAAAGGTAGGGTGTTATAGTACGGGTACGTACGGATAAAATTTAGTCCCAAAATATTACACGTCCCTATACTCCCGTTACCGATAGATACATAAAGGAAAAACTGAAAAAACGTCTTTTTAGATTTAAATACCGATAGATCCAATTTTTTACTGCTGTCCTATATATTTGCGTTCCTATAGATACGACGTCCTCATAAACCCACGTCCTTTAAATCCACATACCTATAGATCCACGTATTTTGAGATCCAAATACCTATAGATCCATTACAGGTATGCTTTTGCTCAAAATGGTTGGTATACTATTCAGTACATAAAATGCACTTCTTTAAAACGACAGTAGGCCTACACATATTAATCCTTTCAGCAATATATTATTCTACTAGATCGTTTTCACACAATACTCAGTGAAAGAACATAAAAAGAACAAAAATGTGTTCTATATTTCACAACGGTTAGGCCTACTGTTTTAGCGTCAGAACACTGTTTAAAGCGTTCTCAAAATGTAACATTCGAACATGTAAAAAGTGTTCTGAATTTACATGTAAATGTGTTCTAAACAAAAAAAAAAAAAAAAAGAGCATGAAAATGTGTTCTATATTTCACAACGCTCAGTGTTCTGGCGCCAGAACATAAAGCGTTCTCAAAATGTAACATTTGCACACTTAAAATGTGTTCTGTTTCATGTTTACGACGCGTTCCCGAACTTTAGAGTGTGATAGACGTGTAGACGCGAACGTACATGTATGTCTTGTTTGAACACCTAATAAATATATAAATACATAAATAAATGAATAAATAATAAATATCAGGTTGTAATTAAGTCAGATCACTAAGTGGATCAGTATTTGTAGCCTCATACCTGTATCACAAATTGATATCGGCCTTTTAGCTGATTACGATGTCAGATAGATGGATCTAGCGGTACCTGGATCTAAAGATACGTGGGTTTATAGGAATCTGTTGGTGGATCTATCGGAACGTAAATTTAACGAGACGTAAATCTATTGAGACGTGTATGTATAGAGACGTATCTATCGGGACGAATATTTTATTGGGACGTTTATCTATATGGCGGACCCCTATAGTACTACGACTTATTAGTGACTTGGGGAACTAATTATTCAAAACAATAGTCTTATTTATGTCCAGCAAACCTGTATATGTGTTTTTACTGGTTTGATTTTTATTGGCTATCTAGAGTCTGAAAGGTAGAGTTATATTGTAAAGATAAACTATATGAAGATACCAAAGACAGAGCTAATATTTGCTAATTCTATTTTCCAGTGGTGTCTTTGCCATCTAGGAAAAAGTTACCAGGAAGTCAGATATTCTTTCGCAATGAGATTTTGGAGTGTGAGTACTACTACTGTATTTACATAGTGCCCTCAATATTCATGAGTGACTAAGAATGTAAATATACTACATAACACCTGAATTATATTTGTTTCTTACTTGTACATGTGATTTTATAGAGATGTTGTATTTTGCCTTTTTTAACTTGTTTGTAACTTTTGCTATTGTTCTATAGGCATTTTAGTTAGTTGTTTAGGTCGAAGACTGTGCTTACACATTTTTTCTTTTCCAGTAGAGGTATTAGAGGCTGCTAAAGAGGAAGATGAAGATGATGATAAGGAAGAGTAAGGGCTTTGGTGATATAATTTCTCCCTTTGATTTAGCTAGTCTGTGTTCCTCATCAATTCATTAAATGAGAAATATGTCAGTGGTTTTTATTCTTTCATCAGTTTTATGATGAAGCAACAATTCAGTACTGCTTTTTCCTTTGTTCACTTTCGACGTATTCTCACTGAGACCACTTCACATTCAGTTCAGCTGTAGACCCTACTACTGGGTACCTTCATTATAATTCAGAGTAATACATTTAATTTCTTGCATGTTGATTAATGTTTACTGGCAAGGGCAACTTTAAAGAAATCATAAACAGAGATTTATAATTCTATTATTTTACAGAATCTTCTATTATAATAATATCTTTCTATTTTGCTTTGATGTACTTTTATTACAGTAGATATTTTTCTTTGACAAACATAATTTGACCTACAGAATTTCCCTCCTGTATGCTTGTAACTTTCAATAACATAATAGCATCCCATTTTGCTTTGATATATACAGTTTGACAGACAGGTGTCTCCTACGACCTAAGCAAAGTACTCCCCACCTGAAAAGACTTCATGACTTGGAACACAACAAACTTTTGCTCAACAGGCCCCAGGACACTGAGGCATCCAGCGGTACAGCTCCACACAGAAAAACAAGGAGGAGTATAAAGTGTAAGAAATGAAGGTTCCAGAGGGTGATTTCACTAAAGAAGTTCAGCATGAAAATTGGTCTAATCATTTTTTCTACCTAAAATTTGTTCTAATGAGAAGAATTTATAGTAGACTAGTCCACTCAAATAAAGTAGAGATTGAACTGATATAAAAGCTTTAATTTCTGTTTTAAAACAAGAAATAATCAAAAACGTAATCTTTCTTTCCTTTTATGAAACAGGCACAATATTTTATTCTGTTGGACTACTACTGATTTATCTTAATGTAATAAAAAATGGTCTAAAAGATTAGACCAGCAACTGAACAAATTTAGAAAGAAATGAAAACAGAGAGAGAGAAAATTGGCACACATGTTCGAGCTTTACAGTCAGTGTAGGGTGTGTGGCCAATGTACGTTAATGTCTGAGATTACAGTTTGAAAACACCTTTAGTCTGACTTCAATCATGTAAATTAGTTTAGATCTATTGAACAAGTTGCCCTAATTGTAATTGAAAATTGTGGCATATTTCAGTCAAACCCCTGGAGAGAATATTTGAAGCCCACCACCCTGAGGAACCAGGGGAAGTTATCTACACTGTGGTGGATCAAATAGATGATCAGTTTGAAAAATTGATGGATGTTGTGAGTAGTTTTTTTTTCCAAATCAGGGCAGGAGATCTTGATATATAATGTCATTGTTATACTGTATCAGTTCAGTTCAAGACATTTTATTATATAGAATAATTGTAATAGATTATACTGTATCAGTTAAGTTCAAGACATTTTGATATATAGAATAATTGTAATAGATTATACTGTATCAGTTCAGGGAGATGTCTTTGGGTCCAGGACAGGAGATTTTAATATAGTATATAAAATAACTGTAATACTGAATCAGTTCAGTTATGGAGATTTTGATATATAATATAACAGTTTACGGTAATACTGTATCAGTTCAGGGAGATGACTTTGGGTCCAGGACAGGAGATCCTGGGCGTGGCCCTGGAGGGTATTAACCTAGGCAGAGGAGGAGAGCTGTGCTGGATACAGGTATGGACATTAACTTTTTACATTACAGGATGCCAGTCAGTCTGAGATAAGGCACCTGCTTACTGTTAGTTTTTTCTTTTTGTGTGATTTTTGAGTTTGGTACTACATTTCAACACATTAGGGAAAAATTAAAGTTTCCTTGATTTTTTCCTGCATAATATTACAAGTTGCGTACCAGATTTAACTAAAATAGCATAATTGNGTCAAGTGAGCTCTGAAGCTCAGGGTGCATAATTGGGGCTACTGCACAAATTCTAAAATATATACATATATGAATTTTTAAAAATTTTGTGAATGAAATTATTATGACGTCACTAAGCCATTGTATTAAATACAGCTGTAATAAAGAAGTATGATGTATAGATATTTGCTTGCGTTGCTTGGTGAATGTTGAATGTCTCTGAGTTTCAGTTAAAATAGTCATTGAAAATTTTTTAAATTTCGTCTTTTAGATAGCCTGCAAGGAATATGTCTTCCTCTTTGATGTATTAACACTTGGTGCAGACTGCTTTAAGTTTGGTTTGAAGGACATTTTAGAGAGCCAAAAATTTCTCAAGGTTGGTCAAACCACCATATTTTTGCAAGTTTAAGAATAATTAGTGCTAGACAGTGATATCCATGCATTTTGTAATGATGCCTGTATTTTTTGTCAATGCACAACTTGTTTAAAAATTGATGGAAAGATTGAAGTGCATTATTTTCAGAAACCAGATCAATGCAGTTTTGTGATACTTGTTGTACAACTTCGTTATTGATTTGTGCGACATTCTAAAAAATTAAATATTAATACAGTGGAATTTAAAAAAAAATGAAATACATAATATCATCATACTATTTTAATTGTATTCAGTTTTTAAGTCAAACATCCTGATGATGAATTTAGAGAAAAATATGAAGTTTTGAAATTTTGAAATTTTACACCAACAGGTTTGAAATCTTAGCCTCAGGAACCACTCAGACAAGTCCATCCTTTCACACTGTTAACCAAAATGTCAATCAGGCATATTTATGACCATTAAAATTAAAATTCCAGGTGATGCACAATTGTCGCCAAGCCTCGGACATTTTGTGTCATCAGTATGGCGTAGGTCTGATCAACATCTTTGATACCCAGGTGGCAGACATCATTGTGTACAAAGTGGAACATGGTGGAGATCTGCCCATGTATGTCAATGGCCTGACAGTACTGCTTGACAACTATTTGGAGGTGGACCCAGATGAAATAAGTCCTGCCATGGTGCGGGAACACTGTAAAAAGGTTGGTTGGAGCAGCCCATGGTTATTTTCATTATATAATATTTATATGTTTGGTTACCACTTGAAATAAAAACTCCTGTGAGCATTTTACTTTTACTGCACTTATTTCTTTTTCGTCCACAGCTTGACAAATTTTTGGGGTATCAAGGACCGTTGTCTGTTAAAATTAGTACCATTGATGAATCTTAAGAAAATTTTGCCAACTTCAGTTTGAAACAATTGATTGATCTCTATGAGGTTTTCCATAAACTTAGTTAATCTGAATTCTCCACCAGCATCAGGGTGTAAGATAAGTAACTATTAAAAGTAAATAAAAGGGTAAAAAAGTATAACACAGGACATATGAAATGGAATACTATAAAAGACAAAGCCAGTACATATCGAGTCCTTTCCATCCTGTAGGAAGACCTTCAGGTGTGGGCCAAGAGACCCTGTCCAGAGTACCTGCTGGACATAGCAGTCAGGAATGTCTTGTACCTACGGGATCTGCGCAAAGTACTGATGGAGCGCATGTTAGGCGAGTTTGTTGCTGGAGTAGACCTCTTTCTCAGTGTGTTGAGAGATGCAGATGATGATAAGGCGTCCAAGGCATGGGTGAGTTTAGAGACAGGGCAAGTGTCAGTATCACCATCTATAGTCACTGAATCTAACTTGGTGATTAGACTAGTATAATTGCGGACAGAGGATAAAAATTAACTTGCTATACATATTGATCACAAATTTTGATTTTTCTCTTAAATTAAAAATCTCAGTTCAGAAAACCTATTTGTGTGTGTGTTTGTGGTTAAAGATGAAAAAGGTGGTTTTCTATAAAAAATCTCTGACAGAATAAAAATCTCCTACAGTTTGCCCATCTTCTGATTAGAACACATCTTCCCATTGCCTTCCAGGCTGAAATTCACAGGCTTCCCCAAAGTTTTCAGCATATTCCAAGGAGACTGGAGCGCTACCCAAGGGGGAAAATACGTGAGGGAGATTATAATTCCCAGGGTTTCCGTGAAAACTGTAGTGGTGTCCGTGACAGCTACATGGTATACAGCCATTCAAGTATTTGGCATGCTCAGAGCAGTGGAAGAGGTATAAAAATTGGTGTAGAAGAGAAAAAAAAAATTTATTTTCTGTAACCGGGGTTTAAAAATAAGGTCACTTTTGTTGACAGTATCTCTGTAAATGTTTTCCTCAGAATCTTTTTAAGTAAGATATATTAACTAATAAGAAATGACATTATAGTGAAAATATTGTTGTTTTATATAATAAGTTTTATTTTTGAAAACAGAATTTATTTTAGGCTTTGGGTCGAAACTGAACTTGTAAAAGTCAAAAGATTGTTCTAACTTTGATAAAAGATAAATCTTGAAGACTTGTTACCAACAAAATGATTAAATCTTGAAAAATAATATGTAGGTTCTTTGTCCAAGACCTCAGTATCCAGCAGTGTCTAATCTTCTCCAGGTCGACCAGCAGACAGTGGGCCACTTCAAGCAAGAGCACCATTGTCCAGTACATTTAAGTCAGCACCTGGACAGGTGACCAGTTCAAGGTCACCCACTGGTCAGGTGACAAGTTCAAGGTCACCCACTGGTCAGGTGACAAGTTCAAGGTCACCAACTGGCCAGGTGACAAGTTCAAGGTCACCAACTGGACAGGTGACAAGTTCAAGGTCACCAACTGGACAGGTGACCAGTGGGCATTCATCACCAGAACAAATAGTTAAGACTAAGATGACCAGCGCAAAGTTGCTGTCTGGACAGCCGACTAGCTCAGTATTTCCATCGTCCATAGCAACAGAGCCAACTTACTTACAGCATGACTTACAGTACTCTTTACCTGCAGAGGAAACTTTGATATCTTCTGAGTCACCTGACAATCTGTGCTCCTCACCAGCTTTAAATTATGTTGTGAAGGAGAGGAATGAATCAAAACCAACACAGCCTTTTACTGGACAAAATTCTCCTCAAGTGCCACCTGCTAATTTTGTTCCTCTTCCTACCAAGCCTTTAGTGTTCAAACCAGCAGGACTAATGCAGAGTCAAGATTCCCCAGGGAGAACTAGCCGTGGCAGGACTGCTAACAGGAAGTTTTCAAGTGCAGGGGAAAGTGACTCTAGTTGCTCAGAAAACGATAATTGGAAACCTGGGGGTGCTTATGCAAAGGACAGTGGAAGTTCCAGCTCAAGAGAGCATGCACTGTTTCCCTTGGACAGTCGAAGCATTACATTTGGTGTTCCAAGTTCAGATCTGTCTGAAGTCCAAAAGACACTAGACGCAGCTGTCCAGCACAGATATTCAGGAAGTGGGAGCACAGTGCATGCTGGGATTTCAAATGAGGGAGCAACAGTGCCAAGAGGGAGGAGCAAATACAAAATCCCCTTCACATCTCCAGTTACTGCTTCACATTTGTCTGAACTCTCAGAAACCCCTGTGGTTTCACTTACACCTCAAGAAAATAGAATAGCAAGAAAGATGCCAGAAACCATTGACAGTCCCAATGAGAATCTCCTCCTAAGAGTTTTGCAGATGCAGAGCAAATCTCACCCATCCAAGCAGAATCCCCAGAGAGACATTGCTTTTGATGGACCCTTAACAGTAGACCCTGGCACTAGTGACACTGGACACCAACAGGACTCATTGACAGACAGTTTTGCTGTCAGTCCACCAGAGATTCAAAGAATGAACAACCTCCCCATAAGACCAAATACAAGGTTTTCTAAGCCAGGGAAACTCACGAGTCCACTCAATGGAAATGATTCACCAGTGTATAATTGTCATTACACTGGTGCAGGGAGTGGTGGTGATGGTCCCCGAGGAGACAGCACTGGTGGATGCCTGTTGCAAGGAGCCAGGGAGGGTGGGACCAGTTCTGAGGAGGTTCATGTTCCATCTGGGGTACCAAGGATGGCCAAAGTGTATGGCAAGGGACGGGCACACTACTTACAAATAGACTGAACTGTTTTTTTTTTTTTTTCCTCAGGCATTATGCGATCATTACTGGTTCTTCATTTTCCATCTTAAATACTCAGGACAATATATGTAGTATACTCCACAATGTATGTAGTATACTCTTTCATACATTAGAGAATTTATTTTTAGGTATTTATTTACAAACGCCATTCAAATAAGGCATGCAAACTTGGTTTCCATCATATAAGACATCTTGCAGTATTCTAATTTTGTATAATATATTTTTTTAATTTACGGACACCATTCTGTCTGCAATATAGCTATGCAATACTATTGTAGACCATATTTCTATCACAGTATTTTTTGCAGTGTGGAGTACTGTTTATATACAACATAATAAAAAACTATGCCTTAGTGACAGAGCTGCTGCAGACCATGCAGCTGCTTCATTTTCAAATGTCCATACATCCCTGCTTGCCACAGCTAAAGTATAACAACATTGGATTTAAGTTTAGTGTACCAATTACACATGTAAGTTGTGCCTTATTGGTTTTGTCATGCGCCATTCTACAACTGCAGAACCACAATATCTATATATATGTTATGAAGATTTGAAAATGAAAAAGCTGGCATGGAACAGATCTGTAACCAGAGGTATTAAGAGTCTTGGTTACAACTCAATTAATTTGCCCTTGTTAAAGTATCCCTCAGAATTTGCTGTAACATCCTTTACAGATTTGTTGTAACATTATTTACTGCAATACAAGGGCCTGTTACTTTAGCAAGTTTTGATCAAAGGATGGACAGAACTTTCTGGTCAAAATTTTTAAAATCTATTCACCTGAAGGTAAAGCTGTAGGAGTACATTCAAGTATGATAAGGTGTCCCTTTCATAAAAGGAAAGGAAATTGCTTCTGTTTAAAACCAGTAGTTATTCTGCTGTTATACATGGACTACTTCAGATTTATCCTGAACAGAAATGGACCAAAAGTTTGGTTGAAAAGTTCGGACCACATCTGGTCTAAAGTTCCTTCATGAAACTGGACCGTCCCATATAATCCTCAGGGTTTGCTGCACCGTCCACACTAGAACTTCACAACTGTTGTAATACAAGTTAAATACTTTCTACCCCCATTGCAATTGTAATCAGTGAAAAAGACCAATGGATTTTTACATTTTTTTGTTTGTGTCATGGAAGTATATGTAGTGCCTGATGGCATTGTAGTTTTATTAGAAAGTTTCATGTTCTGCAGTTTAGTGTAGCTTGTTGTCATAGCTTGACAAGATATTTAGTTTTTCTGTAACTGGTGCTATGTAGAGACTTCAAGAAAAAGAAGCTGAAAATAATAATTTTGGCAGCCTTTATTTTGGATGTACTGGTTTTTAAAAAAGCAGTGCATTATTTTGAAATTACATGTCAAACTAGTCACAGGTGGGATTTCCTCTCACTTTGGAGAATTTCACTGTATTTATGTTGATAATAAAGTTGCAAGTTTTGGTTGGAAAAGTAAAAATTTTGAAGTTGTAGTTTTACTTTTTCAAGCAGTCTCTTTATTCTTTTCGGGTCAGTAGACTATGGAGATTGAGGAAATGCTCATCTTAAGAACAGCAATTAAAATGAAATACAAGTTAATTATTTTTAATATATAAAGTAAGTGGATGGACAAGATAGATCAGACTGTCTTAGAAAATCATCAATGTTTAAGAAGTCAAAAAACCCATACTGTCACAAGTCCACAACTGATGTGAGGCACAATTCTGCCATGTTGTTTACTGCCTCAAAAATTTTATTCCCATGTCCTTAAATAAAAATACAACAAATGCTAAACAGTATTTAAGACAAGCAACACAAGATGAACTATTCTCCTTGGCAGTTTACTTATCACCAGTTACAATTTTACTAATCACATTCTACTGGCTACTTGTCTTTCCTGAATAATCTCTGAAGGCAAATGGAGAACAAGTCTTTTCCTCAAGTCAAATGCATGGTCACCACTCCAAGGTGGTCTAAACATATAATCCTTTCCTTTCTCCGCAACTGTTACAGTGACTTTAGCAGGATTTGTTCGACTTAAGTCAATTAACTGATTGAAGGGTAATGGCAGTGATCCAGGTTTTTAGCTCAAAATCTCTCCTGGGCAATTTAAAAAACTTAAATGAGATGTTGTTGTCATTGCACTTTATTGATAAGGCAAACTGTGAATTTAGAACATGACTCCTTACTAAGCAGTTGACCAACTTAGCTTCATCACTTGTGATGTAAATGTCAAATAACTCCTTACTGGTATCTTGACTCAATGGAAATGTACAGTCCAATGAATATTTACTATAATAATAAATGTCAACAAAGGTCCTCAAAAATATCTTTCATAACCAAAAGCAGATGCAAATTTTGTCACATTTCTGTCACCATGCATTTCAGCCTCTGCATATCGGGATATAAAATGACATGAGGGCCTCCATAACGCTGTTTCCTGTAATCGTGAAGCTCTAGTGAGCCTGTATTCTCAGTTATATTAGCACAAATCCCACCTGGCCTCAGAACTGAACTCTTCTCCATAGTAATTGACAGCCACTAAGTCTGGCTTCTTCTTGATCACACCCACAATAAGTTCATCCTCAATCTGAAAGAAAAGAATTTTGACAAAAATGTACAAATAAAGATAGGTAGACCCATGATATCATGTCAATAATTGTAACAATAATGATAACAATAATAATTTTAAAATAATGAAAAGACATGAAAGCAATTTCATTCCAGTTACTCAAAAATATTTTTAAAATCGAGCACAATTTAGGTTGAACAAGTAACACATTCAATAAAATATTTATTTATGCTCATATTTCGTAGAAGGACAAGTGCAGTTTTCCTTTTTGTGTCAATGGCCATCTTTTTACTTAGCCCAATACAACACTAAAGACCAGGGAGTCTGCTTGGACAGCCAAGTAGGTTGAGCTCTTAATTATCTGCAAACTTGTTTGAACCTTACCTCAATATCATATAAGGGCATAAAACATAGCTAACAGACCCACTAAACCTTGTAACTGGGTGTCACGTTCTCAACTTTGATTAAATACTGCAACTGACCCATCTAACATTCATCACTGGTGGTAAACTCCAATCAAATGCCTCTTAAATTCAGATGTGCACAATATTATAAGGAAATTTGAAAATTAAAAAAGCTGCCCCCCCCCCCCTTTCCCTCCAGCTCTAGGACTAGTTGTAATGAAAAATATAATAATATAATACATCACAGGACATACCAGGGTTTATCTGGCATCAAGGGAACACCCAGTCAGGATACAGTTTTCATGTGTGCAGAATATATCCCCATAACAATTGACAGCTATTAAGTTTCGTTTCTTCTTTAAAACTTCTATCAATACTTGATCACAAATCTGCAAGGGAACAGTCAGTGTGACTCTTTACTAATTTAGTAAGTTCCATGTTGTATAGTACACCTATTCTGTTTGACAACTGTTAATTGCACATGAAATCAAGTCAACAGAGTAGCTACCTGAAACAGTTATCAAGCCAAGAAGATAATCCTAAGGAACTGTACAAAATTAACCTTTCTTTTAGTATTACTACATAAGATCCAGTGAAAAAATTCTTATAAGAGGGACTGTTGGTTACAGTGTTCAAGACCAATATCTTAAAGGTTAATGGGACAAATTAAAGTGACCCAAAATATCTTAAAAGATGATCAGGTACTCATAGAAGTAAAACTGGCATATTGTAGACTATTGTTCGGCCAGTGTCATTGAGGCCCGAGTGGTGTCTGTGACTTTCAGTGCCATGTCCAGCATCAGCATGGTATGTCATGGAGCTAGTGTGTAGTCTAAGGGTGCGTTCACAATGAATCTATCGTACTAGGTAGTTTGGACTAACTCTGAGGAGACTCGCTGAATGCAATCAGATTAACATACTTTCTGCTGTTCTCAACATACTTTATATAATCACCAGCTTTTCTGTATTCTTGTCAATGTCAGGAGGAGGTGTGTCAATCTGATTGCATTCAGCAAGAGTCCCCGTGGAGTTAGTTCAAACCACCAAGTACAGAGTTTCATAGTAAACGAACCCTCAGTCAAACCTATTCTTAATATACAATTTTTAAACATACCCCATTGCAAGCTTTGAGGTCCAGATAAACCAGTTTGGGTACCTTGACGGGCACCTGTCCCAAGCAGTCTCCCCGGATTACTTTCATGCCAACCAATTCTAAACGCTTAAGATTCCTATCAAATTAAATAATAAACACACAAAATAAGTTAGGTTTTGTAAGATGAATGAAAAAATAACGATTCAACAATGATTAAAATCAACTTGGGCTTTTTCTAGCATACTTTTTTTGCCAAAAAGTAGAATTCAAATTAAGGACAAGAACATAACATATTGGCAGAAAATAATTAAGATCTTGTCCCATTTTTCAGAGAAAAAATTGCTGACTATTGGCCAACTTTGTATTATTTTTACATGCTAGAGTAAGCCCAAGCCTACATCATAAATTATTGATGACCATAACTTACAGCACCACACTGCCTCAAATCCATGAATTTTAAGTGTGGTAAACAGCCTGGGATCCTTTCTAAAGAGATTCCTTGAATCTTGTCCAAGCCCAGCAGATCCATAAACTGAAGGTGGCTAAACAGCAGAAGACAACTAAACAATATGCCTGTTATGGCAATCACTTAACTAATAAGATCAAATGTATTTTATCATCATGTTTTTTTTATTTTTATGCAAATATGTGACAAAAAAGGCATAAAAATTAAATGAAAAGATATTGATTTATGCCAGAAAGCTTTTATCTCTTTTCTTTTCTTTCACATAAACGGTCCCCTCTCAAATACATACCTGCATTTGTCCACTATGCTGGCTAACCCATGGTCTGTGATGTTCCAACACCAGCACAGGGCCAGGTATTCAAGACTGCTCCCACAACTGAAATATTTTAGACAAAAATTTCATGAATTATAGTACTTAATATCAGCTAAAGCAGAGATATTAAATAATGTAATCTCATATGATAAATAAGATAGGAATTTCATTAATTATATTACTTAATACCAGCTAAAGAAGAGATATCCCATAATGTAATCTCATATGATAAATCTAATCCTCACCCACAGGAGATATCAAATAAAACAAATCCACGAACAGTAAAAAAATCTGTATATAATCAGTTCCTGGTCACTTTTTCTCCCTAAGGCCCAAAAAATTAGTTCCCAAGTTCCAGAATAAAGCAGTTGGCTAAAAAATATTTAGGACAGGCAGTATAAGCTTACCACTCTACCAGTTGCTGTACCCCATCATCTTCCAACTCTGAACACTCAGTCAGGTCCAGTAAATGCAGGTTACTAAGCTCCTCCCCTCCAAACAGACACTTTATGCCATCATTTGTCAGCTGATTCCCTTTCTTTAATCTCAGAGAGGTAAGGTTGCTCAGTTTCTGTAAAATTTCAAACACTTTTCCCCTTCGTACTCAAAGATAATGATTTCTATGTAAGTTAAGCAGTGGCATAAAGTTAACCACCATTACAGTTATATTTTTTAAGATACTTGAAAATGCAACATGAACATGCAAGCTGTGGGTTATACAATTTGCTTTTCATTTTAAAAAAGTGAATTTTCACAATAATTATATTCATTGTTTTAGTCTTTAAATAATACACCATAAAAATATATCAAAACCCACTAATTCCTGCAATCCAATACAAGGTTTTGAAAAAAGTATCAACAAAACACAAAACAACTCCTCTGTGGAAGAAATTTTAAGTCACTTGTGTTTTCACCTTTAAATGCTGCACCCCTACATCAGTGACAAGCTCAGCGAAAGAAATGCTGAACTTTTCCAGGAGTTTGCACTTGCTGATCTCTGCCAAACTGTCATCACTCAGCTCCGCCCCATCAACACAAAGCTGGCGCAGGTGCTGCCCCTGGTGGGATACTAACACACTAATGGCACTAAAAAACAGAAAATCATATTTTAAATTATGACATCCTTTCCTGCAATTCACTGATGTTTGCTTCCCAATCAATGACATGTAACATGCATATGTATATAATGTGTAGGCTGTTTCATGTTTTTATGCAAGTAAGCTGACTCTGCATAAAAAGGGAATACAATTTTCCTAAGGGATGTAATGGATTTGTCTGACTTTAAAAGTCAGCTATGAATTGTGACCAATACTATAATGATGAATTCAGCCAAATAATATGTACTTAGATACTCAGTGTTTGCAATGTTTCCTCCAAGGCCAGTCTCATATGGATGCTAAGTAGAATTTCTGCATGTACAGAATCATATTTCAAACATTTCACTTCCAGAAACGTCAATCTTGGCAGCCTTTCATTTTAAAAATAAAATTATACAAAGGTGGGCCCATTATCACAGCACAAACATATCTGCTTTAATGGCTCAATACTAACTCATCAGTGACCCAGGATATTCCATCAATATTGAGTGAGAACAGGCTCTTAATGTTCCTAGCCATGTGTTCAATGCTGTCATCCTGCAGCCCCGTGCAGTGGGAGAGGTTCACAGAGCACAAAGATGGCAGCTCACACAGCTTCTGGATACACTGGTGATCAATGAGGGTACAACCTGGAAATAAATGTATACATTAATGTATGTTAACAATTGTACATTCAGTAACTGGGAATGAATAATAACAACTTGTGTGATTATTATTTTTCCCCTAGGCTATCCTAAGGGATATTAATTTTGCCTTTGGAAAAAGTGCAGTGCCTATGAGAATCCCCTGTTCAGAAAGTTGTCATTTCACTTCAGATTCTCAAAATATTGGTGAAAAAGTAACCTTGGAGGAAAACAGATTTTTTTCAATATATTAACTCTGGAATTATATAATATCTTTTAAAATTTGTTAAAACAGTAATCAAAAATGAGACAAGATCAAGGATAAAATATTTGCCTCACCTTCCACATTGACCACCTCCAACTCTCTGCAGCCTCTCACCAGAGTGGCAATAATTCCATAGTTGACAGAGTCACAGAAACCAAGGTTAATTGTATGGAGATGGCTGCAGCTATCTGCCAGTGCTTTTATCTCAGCATAGTTGAGCTGTTGGCGCCCATGGAGAGACAGGTGCCTGAGGAGAGTGGCATACTGGAAGCAAATGCACAGGGATTCTGTGGAAATCTGGTCACTGTATTCAAACTGTAGCACCTTCCACAGCGCAGGATCTCGCGACAGAGCATGCCATTGCCTGCACACTGGGGACACATACCTACAGAGCTCCCTGGGAGTCAGGTATGACAAAATGTGGTGCATAATCTCAACAGGTAAGTCAGATATAGACATAGGTTTAACTGTATCAATTGGGGTTTCATCTGAATCACAAATAGCACCATCTACTTCAGTTTTTGTACCAATTGTTTCATTTGAATTGGTGATATGTAGGTTTGGGGCAACCTGGGTGGAAGAGGAAATGCTTTCTTGGTTATTACCTTGACCTTCACCTTCACCTGGGACTATGTGACCTTGCACCTGACCTTCAACCTTGACAGGAATGTTTTCTTGGCTAAATACAGAACTAGACTGTTGTACAGAATGGCCTTCACCCTGTTCCTGATCTAATTCAATAGACTGTTTCTCAAAAGGCTGGCAGTCTTTTTCCAATTTATGCACCAATTTACCATCCTGAGTTGTGGAATCAGCTGCTATTTTCTGGATTTCACTACGAAGGTAATTTGCACTACTGCTCATTTTTACCCTGGGATATGCCCAGCACTCCTTCAAACTACTGTCACTAGGACTACTAGAGAAATACTCAAGCATTGACATACTTCTGGGAGAACTATGATATAGCCCTTCTTGCTGAGGGTGACACCTGCTGCCCCCTGCTGGCAGATCACCCTCTCTGAATGTTGCCCAGTTCTGTGTAACCAGGAAATTGTGATCCAGGCTCCATTGCCTCTCTACCTGAGGATATTTCACCGCTTCTTGCGTGCTGTCTGACCATTTGCTGGTGAAAGTACAGGATGAGCTAAGACGAGAAGGCAGTGTATCGCTGTTACGTCTTATGTTATGAGCACCTTCATCTAAAAGCATGCCATCATGATCAATAACTCTGGTAACCTTGACCTTGTTAGAGTCAGGGTCAAGGCTGTTATTGTTCAAGGTGGCTGAGGGTAGTTTTGAAATACTTTGATCATACCCTGCATCAAGTAGTATGTCTTCATTGGTCATGTTGAGTACATTCTGAGAATCCTCCATATCCTCCAAGAGGATGGCATGATCCTCAAGATCAGCAAGCTGTGATCCTCCTGGGTCTGTTGAGACATTAGATGCCTGGATTCCGTCCCTCTTGACTGCACACTGTGTAGGAATGTCAAGAAAGTCTGGTCTTGAAGGACACTCACCTGTAGATAACAACAAGGAATATCTGTTACATATTCTGCATTGACTGAATACATTTACAAATTAAACCAAAATCAACTCAACAGCTGTTTTCTGGTGTAAGCTGTTCCATTTACCCGTGTAAGTGTGTCTTTTAGGGGGTGTCATTTTAAAGAATTGATCTATTTTTGTATGATGTTACACCTCATCCAAGAAGTCATGCACTTAACTGACTTGGGGTTTTAAGTCAATAGTTTTTGAAAAAGTCTGAATTATATAAACGTTGGTGTTACCAAATTTGTTTACTCCAGTGGCAGAAGTGCCTGCTTCTGCAGTCACTTGTTCTTCGTCTTCATTCATTCTGTATCCACATCGTAAGTCCTGGTGTTGATTCAAGAACTTACTGAAAGCGCAGTGAGCTTATAAAAAGGGAATGAAACACGCCTTTCTTGGTATTTACTTGTTTTAACAATATCGCACGATTAATTTGTACTTTTCAAGTGCGATGAGATACTTTCGAATCTCCGGAGATGGGAGACCTCACTAGAAACTAACCAAAAAGTTAACGTTACAGTACTTTTAGCCACTTTTGCACAGGAATCCTAGTAAACAGCAAACGTAAAACTTTCAACATCAGTAAGCGCATTAATTAAATAGAACCAAGACAGAAACATACCATTAAACTTGACAAAATTCGTGAGTGCATTTGTTGAGTTCATTTGCACCGCTAAAGCATCAGGAGTTTTCAGTATAACTTCCGGCTTCCTTGTCGTAGAGGAAGCAACAAGGTAAGATTGGTCATGAAACACGACCATGAGACAAATTATCAACTCTTTTGATCATTTTTTAGACATAAGAAGTGACTGGGAGACTTAACGCATTTTGAATGCTGTTTCTTTTGCATTAAAAGTTACACGCAGGATAGAATGTTGTGACGCCTTCACTAGACTGTCTTTAAACTTAAAACGTCATAGCTGAAAAGACAAAAATCGATTCAATATACACGGACCCGGTACCTTGTAGTAGAACTGTTACTCATCGATTGTTTCCAGGATGCGACAACTTGACTATCTAAACCGCTTGACCTAGTCGATAGTGATAGTAAGATCTGCCGTGTATATTATAAGGATCAAGATTATACTGTAGTGTTAATAAAATAGAAAAAACCAAGTCAGTATGAACCACTATAACTTTGTAATTTATGGGTTATTTATGTCCAAATTATATTATCATACAAAGAGTTAATTATTCATTATGATAATAGTGTTATTTATGTCCAAATTATTTCATCACACAAGGAATTAATTATTTATTATGATTATAGTGTTATAGGGAATTATGTATTAACTTTGATTTAGATTTTAATGTGTTCAAATTGTCTTTGAGTGTACATCTTATACATTTTTATGTCAAGGTTGAAACTTTTTAGTTCAAGTGACCAATAAAGATTCCTTTATTTCTGTTTGGTATTTTATAAGGCTTGCTTATTATTTTGACAAAGTTGTTCTTGTATGAATAATTGAGCTCTATTGTTGAGCTTAATATTTATTTATTTATTTATTTATTTATTTATTTATTTATTTATTTATTTACTATAAGTATGCATGCATGTATGTAATGATTGTATATGTTTCTTATATATTGCAGAACCATGTAGAGATGACAAGGAAGCATGACATGGCAGTTGACCTCTCGGTGTCAAAGTAAACAGTCTATTGTCACCTGGTATATGGCTTTCTAGTTCAATTGAATCAGTAATATTGCACAATTTGTAGCATTATTTTTCTGTTACTGTTGTACTGAATATATAAGTTGAGTGCCCTAGATTTAGTACCAAGATATTGTACCTTGATGGTATTGGTAATCAAAATATTATGTTATCTGCTTGTTAAAAGTCAGTAAATCAGCTTTACCAAGATTTGTGTGACTGATTATTTTAAAAAGATTTATTGATGAAATGTCCAGGCTTAATTATCCTCCATATATGCAGATCTGAATAAGTAAACTAGGACATTGACATATATTTTGTTTCTCTATTTCAGGTAACTATTGCACACAACTAAATCACAAGAAAACATGAGTCAAAAACCTGGCAGCAGACAAGGGTCATTTACCAGTAGACCCCCACCACCCCCGCCTCCGGTTATACCCCCACCACCAGGAACCCCTCCTGAACCCAGATCTAACCCCCCTCCCCTACCCACAGGGGCTAGTGCAGCACCCCCCTTGGTGCCAAGGAGGAGAGAGTCTTTAGACACTAACAATACAACTGCAGGACAAGGTAATGCATACATGCACTGGCATGCCTGTTTCCAAACGTTTGTATATGAGTATACACATGTATACGTATCTTGATATCTGGTGGCATTTTGCAACAGTTATATGTATCTTATAATAAATTTTTTCTACTTTTGTTTAGGGTGGTGGGTAGTTAATCTTTGCTGACAGTCCGTGTATTTATAAGATATGATTTGATGTCAGTGGACACAAATATACTGGTTTATCATTTGTTATGTTTGGGAGATCAGCTGTGATTCATGGTCTTGATAAAAGAGAAATAATTTGAAATTTATAAAAAGATGATTACTTATCTGCAATGTTTATAAAACAGAAAAATGCATTTTAATGGGAGCCCCTGCATATATCTATGAAACTTAATTTTTTACTGCATGTATATGTTTTCAGGTTCAGGTCCATTGAATGATCGTCCTCTAACTGGAAGTCCAAATATATCAAGTCGGAGTGCTTTTCGATCGGTGTCAAGCAACTGTGCCTCAGTGCAATCCACGTCGACATCCATGACCTCTCCTCCCCCAAGTTACATAGCTGGCAGTGTTGGAGGTGTGGGGAGTTCAAGCCCGGCTACCAGACCAGCCAGTGCATTCAGCACTCTGCCCACCAGCTCCCCAAGTCTTCCCTCACGTCCTAACACTAACACCCCAGAGTCCATGTCATCACAACCCAGTCTGAAAGCCAGAGGAGAGGATGCTGCCACTCTAACACGGACAATGGAGTTACGCCCCAACCTGAACTTGGTGCCCAAAAATCAAGAATCCCACAGTGTCGATTCTCGTCGTGAGGACCTGAGAGGATCGTGTCTGTATGAAGCGAAGTCCCTTACCCAGGATGCCTTTAAAGTCCTACACGAGTTTTACCAATCAGGTCAGCTGTGTGACCTTGAACTAAAGGTTGGGGAGAAAGTGTTTAAGTGTCATCGAGTTGTCCTGGCTTGTGTGAGTAAGTATTTCCGAGCTATGTTCACGTCAGAGATGGCAGAGAGTAAACAAAATAGAGTGACCATCCAGGACATTGATGAGTATGCCATGGAGCTGCTGATCAAGTTTGCCTACACTGGCAAGGTTCTCATAACAGTAAACAATGTCCAGCCCATGTTGTATGCGGCATCCATTCTGCAGGTGGAGGCAGTGGCAATTGCAAGTAGCGATTTCATGAAAACACACATGCACCCCACAAACTGTATCGGTATCAGGCAGTTTGCTGAAGCTCATGGTCGCTCTGAACTGATCAAAATGGCAGATAAATTTATACAGGACAACTTTCAGGATGTCGTGGAGGTTGAAGAATTTGTGTCCATGACAACAGAGCATTTGGAATTAATTATAGCCTCTCCAAACATCTTTGTTGAATCTGAGATCCAAGCCTACGAGGCAGTAATGAAATGGCTGATGCATGACTTGGAGCACCGTAAGCAATATCTAGCCAGGTTAATGGCTCATGTGAAGTTTCCTCTTCTGCCAGCCTCGTATCTGATGGGCAAAGTGGAGCAGGAGCCCATGATGAAGAAAGATCTGGACTGCAGAGATTATATTGATGAGGCCAAGCATTACCAGCTGTTTTTGTCTGGTGTTTATCCCACTGTTAAACTGTCTGAAAGATTACGACCACGGAAAAGTTGTGCTGGTATGCTAGCATTTTTTTTTCATTTATTTTTTTTTGATTTATTTTTTATTTATTTTTCTACGCATTTATTCTTATGAGAAAGTTGGATTTTCATTAGAATGTACAATTTTGTAAGTATCAGAATATATAAATCTTGAAAGGGTAAAAGATAAAGAAAATGTGAAGTGTTTGAAAATCATAAGTAAATACTGTAGTCTTAAGGGGAACTATCCAAGTGTGATATTTTGATATATTTCCAGGTGTTATGTTCTGTGTTGGAGGGCGTGGTGGGACAGGTGATCCATTCAAGTCCATAGAGTGTTATGATTTAAGGAACAACAGGTGGCTGACCATCAGTGAGATGACCACCAAGAGGAGACACGTGGGTGTGGTGTCTGTAGATGGTGAGTAACTGGACATGTTGGTGTGGTGTCTGTGGAAGGTGGGTAGATGGACATGTTGGTGTGGTGTCTGTGGAAGGTGGGTAGCTGGATATGTTGGTGTGGTGTCTGTAGATGGTGAGTAACTAGATATGTTGGTGTGGTGTCTGTGGAAGGTGGGTAGCTGGTTATGTTGGTGTGGTGTCTGTAGATGGTGAGTGACTAGATATGTTGGTGTGGTGTCTGTGGAAGGTGGGTAGATGGAGATGTTGGTGTGGTGTCTGTAAATGGTGAGTAACTAGATATGTTGGTGTGGTGTCTGTGGAAGGTGGATAGATGGAGATGTTGGTGTGGTGTCTGTAAATGGTGAGTAACTAGATATGTTGGTGTGGTGTCTGTGGAAGGTGG